TTTTCTGACCGATCAGCTCTGTTGCTATAAGCATGAACACTGCAGTGCAAACACTGAAGTTGTTGGTTTTAACCATGTCTAACAGGAAGAACAAAATCTGATAGATGTAGGAGCCTCTGCCCCAGGATCTGCATTTCCTATGTCACTTAATATTTTTCAATTTAAGTCATTTCAATAAATGTGGCTTGCTGGCCCATTTAGCAATATAAGTGCTTCTGATGAGCTCTCAGTGCAAGTGGGTTTCAGGAATGTGACTCTTAATGCTTCATAGAAATTATTAAAAAATCATAAGCGAGTGTTCCTTCCCACTAATTGCCAGTTTATAGCCATGTTCCCATGGCCTTCTTAAAGGACTTTCATCATTCACAACTGTAAAAAACATACAAGGATATTAGAGAAAACAGCTGTTATGATTGACTGCATGCAGACACCTATAAAAAGCCAGAAAATGGCAAGACTCAAGCAACACCTCAGAGTTTCTCTGAGTTTTATGGGCAGACTGAGCCATCACCACCTCTGCAATTCACTGCCTGTAGGCTGGGACTTCGATGGGCAGAGCATCACTCACAGGGCAGAGGAGATAAAGAGTCTCCACTTTGTACAGCGTTCAGCGGAGATAATTAATTGGGGATCAATTGAAAAGTAATCCAAATCTCTTTAAGTTTGCAGTGATAAAATCATGACAGATAGGATGAAGAAGGAGAAATTCCAGGCCAGCTGGGCAGGAAATGAGTCCTGCACGCAGCAGCCTGCCCAGGGCTTCCCCAGCTCCCCAAGCACAGGAGGTGGTTCTGTGATTGAGTGGTTCTGTGATTCGGAGGTTCTGTGATTTGGTGACCCTGATTTCTTGCTAAGCTATGGGCAACAAACCTCTCGTGCCCAGCCCTGCCCCGTGCCCTGTCCTTCTGAGATACACCAGGCTATTTAAAGCAAGTGAACATTAACTATAGACTGCAGTTTCAGCCAATTTGCTGCTCCTGAGATCCTCCAGTTGAGATCTCCCAGTGAACAGCCATTTTGTTTCCTCTCCCAAGCCAACTGTCTGAAACGTTCTCTTTTGTACCTTTTTTACACCAATCCTTGCACTGAGAATCTCAATGCCCAGAGAAAGCACACAGTGCTTTGAAACCTGGGGATAGAAACCAGATTAAAGCCCCATTCACAACTTCATATCCCCACTGCCCACTTTTAGTGCATGACTAAAAGAACAGCCGCGGCACCAGGACAACACAGACCATTGTGACAGCCCAAAATCTGTGCTTTGAACTGTACATGAAGATTGAGATATCAGCCTCTCATTCAAATAGCTTCAGTCCTCCGCCACGTATTGCAGACCTGAAACAAAGCAGTTTTGATGAGCAGCTACGGGTAATGAGAGGCCTCTGCTGGGGCTGGCTGCCTTACTCCAGAGAACAAGAAACTATTGCAATCCTCTAACCTTGTCCATTCTTCTTTATTTAAAGAAGGAATGAATTCCGTGCACATCCTGCCCACTGAAGGGAGGCATTTGGGTCTTCTTGTGGCTGTGGGATGGGCTCTGTGTTGCTGCTTTCCAGCACGGAGCTCATTTGCCATTTCTGCATTACATTGCTGTACTGTGCTCAGAGATGGATTTCAGAAAAAGGCCATTTACTCCAATTTTCCCCATTCTGATTTTTCTGCCTTTGACATGGCTTCAAGGATCACGTCTTATTTCCACTGGCATAAAGGAAATGGAGGTGACCCCAGCAGCGTGAGGACCCCGCAGATATTCCTGTATCACTTTAAAATAAGGTGCTGTGGAGAAAAAATGCCGTGCTAAGCACAGACCGTGGAACATCACAGTTCTGAGTAAGTGTATGGCTGAGCTATAATGGAAGTGCTGACAAGCCCTTCCCGCAGTGGTCCCAGCTGGCCCCTCTGATAATGAACGACACGGAGCGAGCGGCTCTGATTCACCAGGGCTGTGTGCAACAGGGTGGGGAAACAAGTTGGGGCACAGCACTGCTTTGCTCTGCTGTTTTCCTTGTTTCTATTTTGACCCAAAGGGTGGAACATTTCAAATCAGCGTTGCGTGCGTTTTATACTGTGAATATTTCAACATACATGAATCTTTAATACAGCACTGCTCAGCTTAGCTCAGAAAATATGAAAATTATCTGTGTAGTGACTATATAGCTTTCATAAAAACATTGTTATGTGATGTACTAGCAAAATAACGAGCTTAAATGTGCTGTGGCACCGGCTGCATGCTTGCAATCAATTGCTTTGTACAAACGCAAAAATGATCCCCTTGGGAATGTGCTGGATTTCTGAATTTTCCAGTGCCTATGGAGTGTTATAAAGGGATCAGAAGTGACCCCAAGCAGTATGCATATAGATGGCCCATGGTGCAGCTCATTACAATGTTCTCCACTTCAGTACTTCTGCCAAAACGAATGAAACTATCTCCACACCTCAGCACGAATGTGGCCGGGTGCAGGGTGGGAGCAGTGAATCTACAGGTGCTTAGCGTCCCTGCTGCACAGCCCATGCTAATGAGCTTCATTATTTAATAATAATCAGCAGCATTTAATTAACACAACCATTGCCATCCATAAAGTACTTTAATTACACCAGAGGCTGCTGGAAAGATGTCAGCTTAGGGTGACACTAAGCAGCAGGTTCAGCTCTGCTCTGTGCACTGAGCTATGGCCATCAGCAAATAGATAGGCAGACAGACAGACAGGCAGACAGACAGAGCTATGCTTGGTGCCTTCACTCACTGATTAATTATAAGCTGAAATTGTTTCAGTTTGAGTTCTTTAATCCATGGAATGGTCCTGATTTCCTCTCGATTGCCTCCACCCATGCCTGTGGCTGCTGTTGGGTGCAGAAGGGTCTCCTTGCGGTACAATTCCAGCAGTGCAAGCGTGCAGAAGTGCAGGCATGCAGAGCACAGCTGAGCAACACGCAGGTTAGGTTTGCTCAGGAACTTTTCCCATTTGGTTTATCACACTTTTCAGGGTTAGCTTTTTTTCCCTTGAAATTACTTTCCCCAACCAGCATGGTGAAATAGCCGAGCCCCTGTATCTCAGCCTTTTCTAAATGAGAAGTAGCCATCTAAAGATATGCAATATAATAAAGGTAACAATATAATAACATACACAGGTAACAGCAGATTGTAATGAGAATGCTCGAAAGTACCTGAATTCTTTGAACCTTTTGACATGGGCCAAGACCTTAAACATGCTCACAGAAGGAGGGAGCAGGACCCAGCTTTCAGCTGGCGCTGGCAACCAGCATTTGGGTGCAGGGGGACGCACAGCGATGCCCTGGAGCCAGCACCTCGTTGGATTGCATTGGGATGCCTCCATGGAAGCCCACCCGCAGCCTCAGCTCCTTCCTCACCTCCTGCAGGACCGGCTGCCCCCAGCACCATGACTACGTGGTCCGTCCGCTCTTTCCCCACTCCTGTTTTCAGTTGCAATTCAGAGCTACAAGAACACGGAAACGAATGACAAATGTCTGGTTTTGAAACGAGCCCCCATTCCACAAATTCAAAAACTTTTCTCACAGAGCGCATTTTCTGCCTGGCAATTTACGCTTCATCAGAAACGCTTTGATCGTCATTTAGCATTATTCTCCGGGCGCTTTGTGGCTGGCAGCGCTGCTCCCTGCCCCGCTCACAGCTGCTGTGCACACAAAGCAGGACGTCGTGCACCTGCCCTGCCTGCCCGCAGCTGGAGCGAGCGCTGCGAGGCGCCCAGCAAAGCGCCAGCAGTGACTCAGGGTGGAAATCAGCCTCGGTTCTTCGTGACTGCATTACGTGGCAGCACGGGCACGGCGCTGGATAGACAGCGTGCCTGTTACAAAACCTTCCTCCAACGCTTTTTGAGCAGTGCCGAGACAGAGGAAAAACACGGTTTTAGCGCCTTTCATCTGTTCCTCGGCTTAAATAAAATCCATTTTGTTGCAGTGAATAAACTTAATACATTCCCAACTGCAGTAAACGCAGCATTTTGGGGTTTTGACCACATAATACAGCTATCAAAAAAGTGTTAATTACTTCTTTTGAAACAACAAAAAAAGAACTCCTCCAGAATGCTCCCTTTTCAGCTGTTTGATGGAGCGGCTTGATGGAGGTGAAGGAGCTGCCAGTGCCAAAGCCAGTACCGGTGCGTACAGCTTCAGCACAGGTAAAACAGAAATTTGATTTTGTTCTCAGCGTGCAGCAAAGACATGAAAAAGCCCTTCTATTCCCAGAGCCTGAAGCACCACACTGATGGGGAGGACAGGGCTTGGTGCAGGGACAGCACCAGGGGCAGCAGCAGCAGGGTGGCACGGCCCAGGCACCAGCTGTGTCCCAGGGCACTGCCTTCACCTCGCCGCCCCTCTCCATCCCTGCCCAGCAGTTCCCTGCACACCCAGGAATCAAAACAGCCAGTGGGAATTCAGACTCATTTACTGAGAAAAGTACAGAAATAAAATATTTTCCTGCTAGCGCAGACAGATTTGTAAATTGTCCTGGAGGCCAGTGCAGGCAGAGCATAGCAAAGTGACATAACAAATGGTGGGGCACCCGCATCTGTCAGAAACGAGCCCCACCAAAAGCAGAAATGCAATTTGCTTTGAAAACTCCTTGGGCAGCATTTGCCTTTCTCTCTTCAGCAGCAGAGTGAAAATAACACAGCTCCATATTCCAGAAGCACTGGATTTTTCCTGCTGAGTGAACGAATTAACGCACTGCAGCTCCATTTCTATAAGGCACGATAAAGCAGGAATAAAAGCATGCACGTGCCCCTGGCACCCCAAGCACCACAGCGACCAACCTGCCCACAGCCACCATGCCATTAAGCCCCTCCTGTGGTCAACCATCCCCTCGTGGGGTTAAATTATCCACATCCATTCCATTTATACAAGCATCCTTTAAGTACAAAATGATACAGTTAAATAAAGAACGAAAAGCTCACAGTTGTGAGTTGTTTTTGTCTAAGAACTCTGAACTACTCAGTAAGCAATGCAAAGCCAAAGAAGCAATTTCTCTTTTTTTTTTTTTTATTAAGTCAATCCCACAGCTGGAAAATGAAACATCCTAGATTACATAAGTGACTTCAAAAAAACTCTAGAAAAAAATCTTTACAAATTTACATTTGTACAATACAAAAACTAACAGCTCATTGCATATAAATATTACATTTGGTCTGCCAACGAGTGGCATCAAAATCCCTGAAGTATTCATTTAAAGGGACCTGAGATAGCGGATGTGAAGATATGGGCATAAATATCACCTGAAAAAAAAAAAAAAAAAAATCAACAGAGAAAGTATATAATTCTAATAGCTTTGTGCATTCTTGGAGTATTGTAAGTCATCCAGAGCATGAACTGTAGAGCCTAAATGTGGTGAATGTCACTGCTTCAACACCAACGGTAGGGGCGGTACTTCTAAGCCAAGTCTGCTATAACAACTCATGTAGGAACAAAAAGCCTATATTGGTATTTCTATGGAAAAAACAACAACCAGACTTAGATTTCTGAATACATCTGAGCAGCCACTGCTCTCGGGAGGCGCTTCAAGGGGCAGAAAGGCGGCGCTGGGATTTTCCAGAGCAGCAGCCCCTGTCCCATCCTGCCCAGCACTGCCAATGCAAAACGCAACCCAAGAACGGAGCGACTGCCCTTAATTGTCCACGAGGTCACGCATTTTCCAGAGAGTTCCACATCTGGAAGTTCACCAATGTGGCTGCAGTTATTTCCCAGGAGCAGCAACTCTCCAACGCAGCACTAAGCTGCTCCGTTTTGAGTTCTTGTATCAGGTACCCACATCCATGCACATAAACGTATTTAAGCACCATTTGTATAATACTAGAGTTAAGGCTGTGACAGCAATTCCACTGGAAAGGTTCAGGGATCCATAGCACAGTTGTGTACGTTTGCTGGGGGGTATTAAACATGTACAAGCTCCCAACTGGTCTTCAGGTTTCTAATACTAAAGACAACTTTTAGATTAGGTTTTGCAGGCTGTTACTGTACAGAAAGGAGTTTTTTTGTTTTTTCCCCAAAGGTGCACAGCTCCCATATACTAATATTTGAAAATTATCTACCGCACACGCGCAGTAATTTTCTATAATACATACTTGTAAGAACACAATGACAGCTCCCTGTGGTCCTAATAGAGATTTTTCCTCGGATTGCTAACTGCTCCTTCAGTCTATCCTGCAGTTGGTAATTCATAAAACTTGCCGTGTCGATTAAAAGAAGTAAATCGAGAACTGTAAGCACACAAACACGTCACTAAAACATGGAACTCGTGACGCAGCGCAGCAACGCCCTGTGGGGCTGCCAAGACCTCCCTACACCAACAGCTACTCAGCCTTCCCCAACCTTCACCACCCAAAGTTAAAGATGAGGTGGAAACCTTCCGTTCTTATCAGACATTACAGACTCCAACCTTTTTTTCCTTATATTAGCAGTGTGTGATTTCGAGCAGTTGTCAGACACGTGGGAGCAGTATTTTCAAATGCTTGCCAAGGTTATCTTGCTTTTTGAGGTCAGCAGAGCCTCCGCCACTGTCAAAAGCAACATATTTTAGTCTATCTTTCCATATTTTATAAATGAACACATTTTTTGTTAGCACACAACATCTGTTCTTCCCTTGGCTCGGCACGCTTTGTGCAGAAGTAGCAGCTGAGGAGTACATAGAGAGAACGTTCAGGGAAAACGAAGATGTGTAAAAGGTACAACATTTTATGCAACCGAAAATCATCTACAAATTACTTCTAAATGCTTCTGCTCAGCTGGTCCACCTGCGGGGTGGAGCTGCCTGGGACAAGGGAGTGACCTCTGCTTACTGCTCTGCAGCAAACTTCTATTACTGGAAAGCATAACCCAAGATTGTTCCAAGCCCTACGAAGCAAGCATAATGGGCCCTCTCTTTTTTATTAAAACTGGCAATGAGAGGGATGAGAAAGAGGAGAGACGATGGATGTGTCCCAGGCACCTCCAGCAGCTGGGGAATGGTGCTAACACAGAAAGAGGACGATATGAAAAACATGGGAAGCGATGGGAAAGTTCACCTGCCAGACAGACTGGAGGCAAAAGAATGAAGTCTTACACTCTAACAGCCTAGCTGAAATAAAATTCATCGAGATACCATAGAATTCCAAAACTATCATAAATAACCTGGGGCAATAACAAGAAGATGAAGAAGAGGGGTGGAATACAACAAGTGGAAAAGCAAAAGATGACAGAAAATAAAAAGTGGGCAAAGTTCAGGCTAAAGAGATGCAACAGCACATCAGAAAACTGCAAAGAGAGCTTGGCATTTCACGCTCTAGTTGAGGAAAATATGGGACAGAGCACAGATCCATAGCCAGGAGAAATCCAAGAATATGGATTTTCAGCTCCATCAGAGCACAAAGCTGGGAGTGAGGATCCACTGCAGTGACCCCGGGACAGAAGCCCCTTTCCCAGGGCACCTCAGAGTGCCCTCACACCCCCAGCACTCAGAAGAAGGGCCACACAGCCGAAGAACGCCTGGCCTCTCATGGCTAGAGAGAACCTTGCTTGCATCTTGCAGAACAGAAGCTCAAGAATTAACCAGCAGCAGCAGAGGAGCCCCAGGCCCACATACATGCCTTGCTAGCCTTCAGGGATCTAATAACCAGGCCTGCCAAGCTTTTTCTTAGGTCCAATTTTGGAGTAGACAGCAGAAGGCTTAAACCAGCTCACTGCTGCTGATGACCCGCAGGGCTTTCTGCAGCAGCAAGTGGCTCCTGGCAGAATCTGGATTTGAGAGAAAGCATCCAAGTTGCCATAACATTAAAATTATCCCACAGAATGAGGAGATGAGAAATTGTTTGCCCAACTCAGAGAAAGAATCCAGATATAAAACCGAGTAAAAATAACATCTCTAAACCCAAGTTATTTTTCATGCTTACAAAAAAGTTCTCATGCACAAAAAAGGTTTTTTTGTTTTCTTTTTAAATAAGCAATAGCTCTGTTGTTCCAGCACACCCTGCTGCCTAGCTCTTAACCATGTAACACGTATGATTAATACTTACGCCACAGCAAAGTGATGCTTCACTGTTATCTTCACAGTACTTCATTACATAGAAAAGATACATTTGAGAATATGTTTAATATTATCCTAACTGTTGCTAAAATACACAAATTATAAAATGATTTATCTGGAATCCACGTATTTATCTCCCCCCCAACCCCTACACAAAATAAATATGTAAGTGGATCTTCGGCCAGTCAGAAATATATGGAAAGCATTTCTTCTGCATTTCAAGATTTTCAGGCTTTAGAACAGAACCCATAGTGTTTACATTAGTTCAACAGGACTGATCTAAAAGAGGTACGGCTCTGACTATGAGCTGATGCATACATGCTATTCCAGGTTACCATATGTAGGAGGAGCCATCAGTCAAAGAAATAATACATTTTTTTTTATAAATATATAAGCATATATATATATATATATGCATATATATATATACATATATATATATAAAATGAGAGAGAGATGATAGGACAGGTACTTATATTTTAAAGCCCAATACAGAGCTAGCAGTGCCTCTGCACTGTATTTCCACCAAGACACAACTGAATTAAGTTCAGAAAAGGATTATGGCTGTTTCAAAACAGTTGATAAAGTGTGATTTTTCTGCTGTACCATTAAGTCATATTAATGCTCTGAGAAATTTAGGATATACTTTCCTCCATCACAAAACTAAACCTTTGTTTTTTTTCAAGTCATTTTGTTTCTAACTAGAGGTTCTGGAAAGCGAGATAAAATAGATAGTGCTCAATATAGAAAGGCAAAAACTAAATTCTTTCTGCATCTGCGAATATACACGGGTCACTCTTTGCTGCCTGAGGTTTTCCAGAATCATTGACCAAGCCGTGCACAGAAGAACTTCAGGATACTGGATGAAAGTTTTTGTTTGTTAGTTTTGTTTTTAAAAAGAATATTGAAAAACTCCACCAAAAACATCCAATCTCTTTCTTTCCTTTTCTTCCTTCAGTGTAATCTAACTCACCCAACTGAGCTGGAACTGTCAGATTCTTTTAGACAACAGGAGAAAACCGAAGTTCCACATGCATTCCAAGCAGACCCTGCTGAGCAAAGAGGCTGCCACCACCAGCTCAGCCCACGCAAAGCGCCTGCTCCTGGCTGCTGGCTCTGCACCCACAGAAAAGCCTCTACATTTCCCTCGTATCATCACACACTGTACTACCACTACTACTACCACTACTACCAAAATGATTCTGGTTTCAAGTCAGCATTCTGCAGTATCACAACAATACAGTGCAACATGAATTCACTTCTGGAAGCTTGAGATACCAGAGTTCGTGTGGAGGATGGAACAGCGACTTCCCAGCACTGCCAGCCACCAGAGTTCCATTCTGCTTCCCCAGCAGCTTCAAGGGACAAACTAAAACAAACACAGATTTGCACTGAATAAGTGGCAGCAGAATTGTATGGGAAACAGTTGGCCTATCTGCACCAACAAACTGCCATCTGCTGAAAACGTTATGCTTCTGAAAACTCTGATAATTACTTAGATTTGTTTTCATTGTGTCAACAAAGATATCTTTACTACACAACTCGGTGAACAATTCCATCCTTCTACAGCTCCTTCTTGCCAGTACTTCAACACGTACTGAATAATAGCATCTATTTTCTTTTAAATTTCCAGTAGTTGTAAATAGAGGTAGCCAAGCTACTATTAAAAATCACGTTTTGCTTTGAAGAGGAGGAACCTTTCAAATGTTGAAGTTACCACTTAGCTGCACAATCTCTATTAATACTATAAAAATATGAGAGGACAAAAAGAAAATAGATGCAAATAACTTTTGCATTTGGCACCTTTTGTCTAGATATTCATACTTCTCAAGTATTCTCTTTTTAATAAAGTTAATGCACACATAGGACACACCACATCAAAGGTTTGCTACATATTTACAAGGCACCAACCCTTTGTCACTTTTTACACGAATGAAGAACCGATAGAAAGCACATCAGGACCCTCATGACTGTAGTATGGACATACTTCAGTTCAGCGCAATTCACGACTGTTTGGCCTGGGAAGATTAAAATAATCCAGATCCTTCTTACAATATAGAAACTGTAAACATTTTATAGCTGCCTTTAGGATTGGTGTATTGTGCAAAAGTTATAATTATTACTGTGTATAAGGGTTTATGGCAAAAACCACATAAAAACTCTGTAAGAAGGTGCTATTTCTATAATACAAAAACAAAACAAGGGAGAGAAGTCATAACCATGATTCAAAATGTCACGTTCTTATTGAGAAGCTGGAAGCCTCTTTAATGCGATGAACTCGTAGTGCGTGGGGAAGAATTTCTGTAATTTAAGGCCTAATGAATAAGGCTTGCTTTGACCAATGAAGTGTGGCGATCTAAAGTTTCAAAACAAACGCAAAGCGACATAATGGAAAAGCACCACTGTGAAACGTGAGTGGAGTCCCCGCACAACTTGCTTGGTAGATTTTCTGGTAAAATCCCTGCAGTAGAAGGCCATTGAAGTTCTTTTTAAAATTGTTCCAAAGTTTTTCATCTGTCAATAATTCCATCCCATGAGATGGCTGACCCTGGCTTTTTCTGTCATTTTCCGCACCCTGCCTGACCTGGAAGTACCAAGGTTCAAAGGATCCTCGGTGTGCACAAAATTGTCATTATCAGAATCGTCGTTATACAGCACAGTTCTTCTACCCTCATTCCTCGTTCTGATTCGAGGTGCTCTACTGAATCGGCCTCCAAACACATTTTCACCAAATTGTCCTCCAAACAGAGTTTCAAATTCGTCATCTGTAATTCGGGCACGTTTGGCTCTGGTGGCTCCTCGTGAGGCTCCTCTGCCTCCTCGGCCTCTTCTTCCACCCCTGCCACCACCTCTTCTTCCTCTGCCACAGCCTCTTCCACCTCTACCGCCTCTTCCCCCTCTGCTCCATCTCCCCCACCTTCCCCACCTACCTCTCCTCCCTGTCCCTCTGCTCTGCCAGGTCCTTTTCCCACTGGTGAATTTTCTTTTGATTTTTCTTTTGGGTTTTTTGGATTGCACAACTTTGCTGTAGTCATGGTCTCCATCAATGTAATCCTGATCTGTTCTAGATGTTGATTCAGAGTCTGAATCAGAGCCACTTCTACTTTCAGAACTTGAACTAGATCCTGAATCCCCACTTTCTGATGAAGACAAACCAGATTTTTCCTTTAATTCTCTTTTTTCTTCTTCCTCTGCCTCTCCCTCCTCTAGATGCTCATCTTCCGATGCACTTATTAGCTTCCTCTTCACTCCTGTCCGAGGTTCTCTGCCATCACCATTTGTAAGTGGTCCATCAGGAGAGTGATCTAAGCAAACACAAAATTATCCAGTTATCATCATAATCGTGTCTGAGCTAAACTGGGCCACAGAAACTGGGATGCACCTCATATGTCTTTGTGGCAAGCTCTGGAGATGATCCAACTCTGAGCTAGCCACCAGAGATGACCTTTATGTTTTGTGTATGCAAACTGGTGCTCTAAGAGGAAAATTTATCAGATCAGAAGTAAATACAGTACACCACATACTGAAGTAAAGACTGTAGACTCTCTTGACTAAGAGTCCAGTACAAATCCACTCAATAAAAGGAGAACATAGTGACATGCTTGTACACAAATGTCTAATAGCTTAGACAAATCCTACCAATAGTGTCAAGAAAAAAAACACCAAAATCTATTTAAAACTCCCAAAATATACATTGAAACAACAGCCTGCAAGTAGTACTTGTTTCCCATCAAACACAAGTTCTCAAAAGGCTTTGTTTAGGGAGCATTTGTGGCAGTTTCAGGACAATAAACAAGCCCAAATTGCTCACTGGGATTTCTGAATGCCTTGAGTTAAAAACATTGCAAAGTGCTTTGCTGTCTTGGGATCAAATTAGTTTTTAAGGTTACTCTTCATCATCAGGTTTGTAAATATCTTCTTTCACACTGGATACAAAAAACTCATCTGCCATACACAGTACTGCTACAGCACAGTAGCATGGACTTGAGAAAGACTCCAGAAATTTCAACTAATGCTCATTCAATGCCTACCTCAGTGAAAGCTCTGATTGATGTGCCCCAAAGACAAAATAGTGAAGGTTTCAAACTGTTTCCACTTCCAATTATAACACCTTATTTCAAATATAATAAAAAATACATTTTTAAAATTGGAATTCTTTTATTTAACTTTGGTTTCAACTTGATTACTAAAAGGATAAGGTTTTGGGGTGGAAATTCTTCCAGTTTTTTTGGTTTTTTTTTTGCCTTTTTGTCACTCTTGAAGAAATTGTACTTCCCAAGACTTTTAAAAGCAATGAAGTTTTTCCATCAGGAGAAATTTTAAAGGACTCCACTGAATTACATGTAGCATCATGTGCATGCCACCGTTCAGACAACAAGAACTGTAAATAATAAGCTAAATTACTTTGAGTATGGGTTGGGGCTACCATATATAAGACCCATACAAGAATACCATAAGATCAACCAGAAGCACCAACTTCCAGTTCTAGTGAAATCAGTCATGGAAAGAATAGAAAAGTTATGTCCCACCTTGTTTCACTGGTGTCACTTTACTTCTGATTGGTTTAATTTTCCCTGGATCAATGGTATTTCCACTTCGATTCTGTGCATTTGAGCCTGAGGAAGATGGCTGGACTTCCACTTCTTCACCAGTGGCTGAACCCAGAGGTTCCTCTGTTGTATCTGAAACTTAAAATGGGATACCACTCGCTCAATAGATGATCTTTCATCCTCTATTTATACATTTGAAATGAAGTTCTGTAGTTAGTCAGTGGCCTAAAAGTCAGAAGGTTAGTCTCACCAAGCTGCCTCTCCAGTCAAGAAGAGACATAGATTCTTCCACAGTGTAACCCAAAGAAACTTAATGTATTTGTAGTTGCTATATGAAGGAAGCCTATGTACAGGAAGTCCAAGCTCAACTAATTCTTAGCAAGGACAGGCCAAGTTACCTTATTATCTGAACCTTACCAATAACTTACCAACAAACAGAGGGTCAATATCCTGTTAACGTGATCTACAGACCACGTATTTACAAGACTTTGCTACTTGCTTTTTCAACAGGTAAGTTTTGCATGTGTCTCATGAATATAATACTTCAACTGAATATTATATATCCTTCAGCTTTTTCAGCATTCTGCAGACAAGCTGCTGAAAGGATGCATATTAGAAAACTTCTTACCATGAGATGAAACTGAAGAGCTGGTCCTAGTCAAAGGCAATGAGGTATTCAGGTTGGTTTTAGGTTGAATCTTCATTTGCTTCTGTTTCCCTTTTGGACTGAAGACACAGAACACCCCAAAGAGATAAAACTACTTATACCAAAGGAATCAAAGATGACAACTTTCCCTGCAAGATGTCTTGGTTTTTTTTTTTTTTGTTTGTTTGTTTGTTTGTTTTTTGTTTGTTTGTTTTTTTTGTTTGTTTGTTTTTGTTTTGTTTTGTTTTGTTTTTTGCATAGAAGTCATAACACTAATGATCTTTTTCCCCTTGGTGCCTGCAAAGATGTAATAACACTAAACTTACTTACAATATCCTGTTCGGCAAAGGCATTTGAGCTTTTAAGTGCAAGGCATGTGAGGGTTCTTTTTTTTTTTTTATCTCACCTTTTCAAACTGGAATACTCAGTTTTCATAGACAATGTGTCATGCAGAAGTCAATGAAGTGTTTACACAGTATTTTTTCAACCTTTATGAGGCAAGGGCAAAAATAAATTTGGTTTTCCATTTTATCCAGAGGAACTACTTCTAATTCCATAGACTTAGCAGAATCGGGCACAAACACGAAGTGAGCGTGGGATTTGTGCTCATGATTTTACCATCCTAAAGAACAACTGTATCAAGAAACAAGCAATACCATTACTGGCTGCACATTTACAAAGGTTTGTCTACTACCATTATGTTGTGTCTCAAATGATACTGATAGCACATCTCATTAGCATTATGTTACCTAGAGGCTCTGCTAGTTGATGGTGAACTGCTGCTGCTTCTTAGACGTTTTCGGTACCGGGGCCTTTTCCTCTTCTGGCATTGCATTGCTGACTTGTACTCAGAGATGATATTCTTCATATGATTTTCAAATAAGGCAGATAGTCGAAGTGTCATGCTGTAAATCTGGGGTGAGAAAGCATGGCCATACTTATCAGAACTTCATAAAATAGAAAATCAGCAAAAAAGTATAAAAAACTGCCTAGACATCAGCTTCTCAGTGCAAAAGAAAAGTTCATGGTGACTTCAACTACAAAGCTCTTTACAGATAATTTCCATTCATGAGATAATTTCATTCTTATGACAGAAAGCGTTTATGCTCCATTCTTAATCACCATAAAGCATGGAAGCAATCCATGAAATAACTTGAAGTACCAAGGGAAAAAATAAAACAACAGCAACTTTGTTGTCCCCTCATCTAAGCTTTTGGCTGTAATTCCCTCGCGAAGAGTCCTCACACTCATCCCTTTAGAGCTGCAGAGAAAAGCTACCTGAAGCGTCTTCGCTCCTGATTTTTACAAGTCAGATATCAAAATCTTTAAGCTATTTCCCTGTCTTCTTTCTAGACCACACCTCTGGCTATCCTCATTCCTAAATTCACTCATGTCTCTCTGTATTTCAGACAATTTACTTCTGTTCAAAATTTTACTTAGAATGTTTTTCACTTACAATTGTGTAAACTCATAGTTCAAACTCAGCATATACAAAAGCAAAATTTCTTTTCTTTCTCATGTCTATACTCCTCTGTTGCATACAGTCTTATGGATGTCACATAAATACCATCAAGACAACAGGATCAATGTCTTATACCTCTTCCCATTTCTTGCAGTCTTTCTGAATACCAAACTTCTTTGACAAGGAGTTTTCTTTCCATTCACACAACTTAATTCCTGTCCCCTGGCTCTTACATTGCAGCAATGTCTCCTTAGCTCTGGCATGTACTGTCCTGCCCTTCTTGCCTCCACTTGGGATGCTGTTGCCAAGACAGTAAAACAGACTAGAAAACCTCAGGATGTTGACACACATTTGGTAGCAGATGAACCTACAGTGGCAGAAGGCCCAGCTGTGTGCCCCAGCCCTCCCACAACGATCATCCCACTGAGGCACTTCACAGCATTTAAGCAAATGGATATTGATGGACCACTTTATTAAAGTAATTTGGGAGTTGACTCACAAGCTGTTCAGTTATAAATACACAGGGAAGTTTCCCAGGGGGTGCACAGCAGTAAATAATGCACCACCAAGCTTAATTTGACATCAAGCTCATATAAAACACCCTCAAATCACCTGTCTTGTTGTGACTCTCCACTAATACTTTCTCTACTCAAGCAAGCAAAAATAACTAGTCTATCTTCAGAGCTTACCCCAACCCACCTTTCATCCTTCACGTACTGTATTCATGCAAGGCCCAGGTCTTTGTAAAGAAGAAATTTACATTTTTACTTACTCGAGACTTTTTATTAGGAGTGTAAGCTTTAGAGTTGCAGAATATTAAACGAATATCTTTGTAGAATTCCAAGGGACTAGTGTAATTCCCTGCTTCCAAGGTTTCTTTCACAGTGCTGAAGTCCATAGGAGTGTCAACAATATCTCGGTAATCCTACGAGAACATTCAAGAATTAATAAAAGCTGATAATAACAATGTCTATGGCAGACAATTGAGAACATCTACATTATCATCCACAACAATGGCTGTTATGTAATTATTTTCACTTAGGACAGAGATTTGAGAGTTACTGCAGATAATTCTCTGAAAATATTGGTGCATTGAACATGATCAATTCCAGCTAATAAAAGAGACATTAGAAACATGTCTTTGTCAAAGGATGAACATCAGCTTGTTAAAACTTTGAGTATGGAAGTCGCACTTACAGGATAGGAGAAGAGGTCAACTGGCTGTCTAAAAGGCTCAGAGTCCTCTCTTTCATAAATCAGGTTTAACAACTGCTTGCATTGCTCTTTCCAAGCGTCAGGACTTCCTTTCACAGGCTGTCTTTTTATTCGTCTTCTTACCTGCTGGGAAACAGATACATTTAATCATCTTTCAAAATATTCAGAATTTCCATTTTCTTATTAATTTACTAGTGTTCTGATTTGAAATAGATTTTCATAGTTAAAAGCAGAACTGCAAGAAGTTAAAGCACAGCTAATGCTTTAATAAACAACAATAAGCAGAATGCAAAATGCAGAAATATGCTTTTTCTGGCAACAGACAATTACTCAAATCCATATGAAGCACACAGTATTTCAGATTCAAGCCTGCTATTGGTGTCATTTTTCCCTCAGTTCTGATTGCAAACTGAACTTGTTCTAGATATCCTTCAGATCAAACAAACAAACAAGATTCTTCAGCAATTAAATTTTCCTGGACAACAACATTCTTAGTTTGGCAGTACTGACATACAACTGAATTCACACTGTTTGAACTACAAACTATAGGCTGATGAAAGATTTAAACTATTTCAGAACTAAATGACTATTTTAGTACCTGTTCTACCTGTCTTCATAAGCTAAATCAACCACAAAGATTTACTCACTCGTCGTTTTCCAGAGGAAGTTCCTGGAGCATCTGAATCTACATCTACTTCTGCCACCTAAAGGAAAAGGTGATGATTACAAACATGAAAGCTTGTGTGCACACAGAGCAATGGAAACAAGCAGGGTTACAACTGAACAACAGCTAATACAATTACAAACTACTCCAATGAAAAGACAGTTTTGAGCAAAACAGAAAACAGTTTTAAATCAGAAATTACATAACTTCAGGGTAGAATGTAGAAAAAAAGGTAGAAAATCCACTCTTTTCCGACCCAAATTTGCTTCCATAGAAATCACACGTAAGTTTCTGAGAAATATTAGTGGCTTGGTTCAGTCCTTGAGAATTCAGCTAAGTCTCACTCTTGCTGAGCTATATACCTCTGCCTAAACGTTCACGCCATGAGCAGCTGTACTGAGTTTATTCTGACTTCACGTAGTCTCTTACATTAAATTCTGCAATTTTTTTCAGATACTGAACTTAAAATGTAAGATCTCACAATCATACTTAATGGTCTTACCTCTTCCTCTTCATCAGTACTGCTCAGATCTTCTGCTTTCACCTTATTATATATATCTAATATATCCGTACAACTCTGATCCCTGTAGAGCAACAAGAATAGTCAAAATACATAAGTGAATTTCTTAGAAACTCAAGACATCAGGTCTATGAAGATAACAAAAAAATGCCTACCCAATGAAACGAAGTAACACATCTGTTACGATTTTGGCTGCTTTGACTATAGGACTGTCTGGCTCATTGAAAGTCCTGGCATTGTGTTCAATGTATCGTACCTCCCACATCAGTGCAGAGATTCTCCTGAAACAAAAACAACAAAAAAAATGAAAGGGATGGAGTGGAAGGGGTACACCATCCACCTTCTGATTTCAGTAGATTTACAGAGTTAAAAATAATAATAATAATAAAAATTGAATAATTCAAGTACATAGGTTGCCAGAGACAGAGGTAAGTGTTCTGCTTACTGCCCCATTAAGTATGCAGGTTCAGGTAACTTTGTGGAGGAAAGATATCCCTCTTCAAATCAGCAATGAATGGAAAGAAAAGAGGAGACAAACCTACTGAAGAAGATTACTGTCCCCTCCCAGATAGAGAAAACCTTGCAGATAAAGTGGTCCCCCAGGGAAAAGATCATTATAAAAAAAGATATTAGCTATAACCTTGTTAACTGAAAAAACTAAGACTTCCAGCTTACTTAGCCCAACTTACTTAGCCCAATTCTAGCAAACACAGCACTAGAAAAGTATCTGGTCCAAAGGCAGCAAAAATACAGATCAAATACAGTCTACCTACAATGCACCCAGGGACTAAGACTCTGAATGTGTAACAAAAAGGGCACTCCAGATCCAGACATATCAGCTTTTGCCTTAACAGTGTGGCCAAAATAAATGATCATATAGCAAAGACTTACTTTCTACAAAGTCAAACAGAATCTTGCTGTATGCTTTCAGTTTACCAAACGTTGCCTAAATAGCACTGCATGTTATTTAGCTAAATATATTTTGCTCAAATAGTCCACAGAAAATGTAGATTACAAGTGAGTGAAAAACAAACTGACCTATAAAACCTGTTTTCAAGTCTCCTCCTGATTGTGGTGAGGTCAGTGGGATAAGCAACTACAGTGCAATACATGGGATAGGCACTAAGGTCCACTGGAACAGCAAAGGGATTAGAAATGTCTGAAAGACAAAAGGTCAAAGTAATTCAGATGCCTCAGCTGATACCAGCAAGAAAGTTACAAAATAAGAAGATGCCTTATAATAGTTTCTGTGTTTCCTTTCTAAGAACTCAGCAAAAGTAATACATGGACACCACATGACATTTAACAGACTCTTTTCAATTACTTAGCTGAGAGCATTTGAAATACTTCATGCCAATTCCACCTCATCTAGCATTCAGTCACGTGGAGCCATGCTGACGTCCTTAAAACTTCCACCTTTTCTCTCCAAACATACCAAGAGAAAGAAGTTGCTCAATCCCCCGAATTACTCGCTCACATTCTTCATCTCTGGAATGGGCCCCCCATTCTCCTTCCTGGGGTTTGTAGAGAAGAGCCGTCAGCTCATCTGGAGTCACAGGGACTCCAGCACCAACCTCCTCTGGATAAGCAGCTAAATATGAAGAATTGAACAGTGAGCACTGGCAGTGACACAAAACTATTTTCTTTACATACGGATGTGAATTCAAAACACGCTTACTTCCTTCTGGAATTGGTTCCATGTCCCACGGACTCATTTTCTCTCTTTCATTATTGTCCCAGCTTTTAAAAATAAAAATAAAACACATTCAAATGCATAAATTAAAGCATTTAATTTTTCATCTGGCTTAATATAACAACAAATATTTTTCCTCCCATGCGTTCATAGTAATTCTATTTATGCTAGAAGAGTTGCTTTAAGAATAAGATCATCGTTAAATACATGAAAACAAAGCAGCTTATTACGTGTTTAAATGGAAAAAAAGGATCCAGGTTCCTGAAGTACACACCGAGCATATCAATGTGTCAAACATTGCAACTATGTAAGTACTTACTGAACAGAGTAGCACTGGAAGGAACTATCAGGGTATTCTGCCTGAAAAGGCTGCTGACTCTCCACAGTTCCAAACCACCAAGCATCATCTATTATACTGCGAAATCTATCCCCTGCAAGGAAGAGGATTTTTGCAGAATTTATCTTTTCTGTTCTCTTTTCTGTTAGAGGAATTGTAGTAAACATCAAATAACGTTTCCAATGATCACTATAGTATCAAGTGTGACTGGGTCTTTTCACATTGTGTTACAAAGATGCTGCACATCATCTTCCAAACACTTCCCCACAAATCACAAGCCTTGTTCTAAGAAGTCAGGCTGTGGGAATGCTACAGGAATATCAGAGAGTTACAAAACACAAGATTTTTAAATTAATTACAAAATAAAACTTGTAATCTTCTAAAATCTTTATCACAAAGTAAAGCTATTAATAGAGTATATAGTAAAATTATTTTTACATTAGGATAATCACTGCTTGAAAAAGAGTTTGTATACTTAAAAGTTAGAATTTGTTGTGATGTCAGCACTTCTTCCCCCATTTCAATGTCTGAAATATATGATATTCAGAGAAAATCAAAAGAACACAACCACCAAATTTTAGCCTATTAAGCAAGCAAAGAAACTCAGCAAACATACGGAAGTGGAAGTCGTTACCTATTTGCCAATTCCTCTCTTTGGCTTCATTATAGAACTGATGCAGCACAAGGAAGTCAATAACATCTGGCATATCATGATACCTTCGTGAAATAGAAAAATATTATTTCTATTACCCACAAGCACTGTACCATACGTACAATACAGTCTCCTAACACAAAAATTCATGCATTATTATGCGAAATGTGAAAAGAAAATGAATTCATGCCATCATATCTTGAAAGAGAAGAAAAAAAATGGTGGAAGCTTCTAAGGCTCAATACAATTTCTTAAAGAATACCATCAGATTTTCAGTTACTCACTTAATGGAAAATGATTCTCCTGTCATTTTGCCTGTGATTGGATCTAGGAATGCAAGCTTCAAGCAGCAAAGTGTAGGGGGCCCAACTTCATATTTAATTCCTACAGTCTTCACAAATTCTTGTTCCTATTAACCAACATGCACAGAACAATATTATTTTAACATGTTTACAATAGGAACATCCACATTAAAGTACCAGACCTATAAACAATAAACAAATGTTCCCATTTTGCAGCCCAGGTAATTTCACCCATAAAAGTTTCCCTTACCAAAAACTAGAAATTAATCACAGTGTCCTTAAAAAGAAAACTAAAAATAAAAGATGTTCACAAATACACCGAGGCACTGAGCAAGATGCCCACAACTCATTTAATTTCCGTGAGAAGACTTTAAGGCACACTACTTTCTGTTTCAACCACACTGATGGCACCAAGGGTTATTCCTGACTAAAGCCAAGGCCTCTCACCCTTGTGTAGCAATGTACAGGGAAGGAAAAGGAAGCTCTTCCTTCTGGAGTGGAAATTCAATATTAGCATTGTACAATCACATCTTGTCAACCATGAGCAGGTTTTAAGATGTGTATCCTAAGTGAAATAGCATTTCTTTATTCTTTGAGAGGTATCCTAGGGATGTCTTTGAAGATTACAGGTGGAATCATTCAGTACCTAGCACTAACATCAGAATATACTTCCAGTAAAGCAATTATTTTCATATGTATATGAATATTAGCACTTATATATGCTCTTTGCTTGATATGAAATCTAAATAAAACAAAACACAATATGAAAATACTGAGCATTTGGTGTCACTGGACTCAGTAACTCAAAGTAAAAAGGTTAAGAAAAAAACAGAAGAACTACATAAGTATAATACTTAGCCAAACAATCTGTAACACTTTTATTCTGTCAAAACATGTTGTAATATTATGTCAAGCTCTTCCAACAATTACCATACACAATTATATACTTAACTATATCTTGTTCAAGGAAGCTTATGCATGCATTAAGTTATTTACTTGTTGCAATCACATTTAAAACAGTGACACCACCTATATGTTCAGGTCATTTGCAGAGCATTGATAGAACTATAAGCATCTTTTGTGGGGTGGATACTGCTTGAATGAGAGTTAAGAAGGAAAAAAAAAAAAACAAATGCAAAAGGGACCTCTGGCAGTCATCTAGTCCAACACTCTTTCATACTGGCTTGTAATGCCAAGTTAACACTACAGAGGCATTCAGCACTTTGAAGTATCCCTTAAACTTACCCTGAGTTCCATTTTGTTCCATGGTTGTTTTTGCATGTTAATACTGTAAATTTTTGCTTTTCTTACTGCCCGCACATAAGCTTCATGGCCTTGCCTGAAGTATATGATCTAAAATGAGAATTAAAAAAAAAAAGTTTATTTTACTGATAGTTTTGTTCCTGTATAGACTTTCAAAATTGAGATCATTACAAAGCACAGAGATTTGTTCGAAAATGCACAAACAATTCTTCTTTCTATTCAGAAATTGCATGTGCACATAAAGGGACATGGGACAGCTATCTGTAAACATCTGGTTCCTTAAGTCAGCTATCTTAACCATGAGTCACTGAAAGCTACATTTAATAGTGCCAACCAAACAGAAGTTCATCAGCCTAGATGGGAATTTAAAGACTGCTACAGTTGGAATTACCTCATCTCCCATTTGCGGGACAAAAGGTGAGCGGCGCGGTATGGTGTCCAAGATCCACTGCGGGGCCAGCCACTCCTCACTGGGCTCCCCTTCCATTGAAAGCAGTCCACTTGGTTTCTTAAATATATTAAATTTAGAGCACAAGCTGCAGTTACTGTGGCAGAGTATACAACAATAGATTATAAAGCATGATATAAAGATAACTATATATAAGGGCAAAGCTACTCTGGAACCTTCCAAAAATCTCAACTAACTCATGGGTGGTAAGAAACGTTCATTACCAATAAAACAGAAGATTAAGATGTTCATAAATAGACCAGGTTTCTTTAAAAATACACTGTTGGTCTTCTTTAACGATTATTAAGAAGAAAACACAAACAGTTAAAGAAAAAAACATGTATTTATAAAGTCAAAAAGGCCCTCATAAATTAAAAATGCCAACCTTTTTTCTAGGTTGTTTTAGTTTCCTTCGTTTTTGCTCCACTCCTTTTGTTCCCTTTACATTTTCATCTTCAGAACTACTACAGATTTTCCGAGCCGCCTGCCTCGTTTGTCTCTTTGGAGGCTGGAGATTAATTCCAGCATCAGCTGTCCAGTCAGAATATTCACTTGATGAATCACTGTAGATAATATAAAATTGTAAGAAAGAAAACAGCACTTCAGTTCTCACACAATGGAATGAAAGGTCCAATCCTTCAACTCGTTTTTCTGGTCATGTGAAACAGACGTCAGGATTAGGGCGCATTTCCATTCTCTTAAAGAACAGCTAAGTGATATCTTAGCAGATCATTTTAACGATTGAAAATTGCTGATAAATCTAGGAATTCTGTTTGGTACTTATTTGCATACTAATTAACTCATTGATTCATAGACCGACTTTATAAAAACTGATTTAATTGCATGAAAATAATCAGAAAATTAGAGCACTCTTAAAAATACATTTCCAATTCTAACACCCAAATAAGACTCGCAGTATTAGCTCACATCTCTTCCAGTCATAAAAGCACAGCATTAAGAAAAGAGACTGTGGAACTTGTACACCAAGACATACTGACAATTAAAAAATTAACTACTGAAACATGAACAGAAGATATGGATGCGTGCCTATCAATATTTCTACTAGATACCACTAAATGGCATCAATTTTTCAATAATTTATTAGTTTAAATAGGGATTTTCATAGAAACAAAATTTCTTTCAAAATCTTTCAAATCTTTCAAAATTGTTTTTCAATTCTAAAAATAAAAAGGAAATGCTTTAAGTGAGATTAGAAAAGGAGGCACTCTTCAAAAACTTTCTCATACATATTGAAGTCACCATATTAAAATCACTCAAGTATACACATGTATTTACTTGATAAGACTCTGGAATTTTTTGTTGTTAACATTTTAAACTACTTTAGTTTAGGACAGTTCACTTCAATCTGTCATAGGGTATCAACAAATCAGTATCTTTACAAGGTAACTCAGTAACACTTCTTCCTGAACTTGCAATCTTTCACAATATCAAAACAAATGTCTGACTTATCTTACTCAAATTACTTAATATAATAAAGATGCTAATAAATGTACCTGGAGCTGCTGTCACTTTGCCATGTTGCCACAGGATCATCCACAGATGCATCACTTGTGCCACCTGTCTCATCTTCCTGCATTAAAAACAAAAGGTAAAACTTTGCCTCAAAGTGAAACATGTACCATTTTTATTTGCAAGTTACATGGTCTGTTTCACTTGAGGAAGCTTTGTAGTTAAGGGCTAATTTAAATAATTCCACCATTTCTTACTCAATATTATATTACATATGTAATTCCTGGTGTGAATTTTAACAGTACTTGTACCATAGAATGAGGTTGTGTTTAAGTGTTTGATCAATAAATTTTGGTGTCACCTGTCCTTATAGCTATTCTGTATGTTCAGTGCATTCACAATTTGCAGTCTCTTTTTACTTTACACCTACTGAGAAAAAGTTATGTTTAATCTGGTATATTTTAAGTTCTTCTATTGACATATCAATGAATAATACCAACATCTCTTTCAACAACAGTTTACAGATGCAGATGAAATTAAAGCACTGAATATGTCCTAGAATATATGCACAGCATCTGACTGTCCAAAACTGTAAGTGGTTTAACCCAATCCAGTTAAAATTACTTGAAAATATTTCAGATTTCCAAAAATACACAACCTGTGTATTTAAGCTAGTTTTGAGCTTTGAATATTGTACTAGCACGGAGGTAAACGATCCTCCTCTCTCCAAGATTAACATGCTACAGTAACACCACAGAGCCAAAGGATTCAACAGTTTGAGTGTTATTTTTTAAAGTGCAGAAACTTTTGAGCCCTAGCAGTGACAGTGACAGTCTGTGAACCAGGAACCATGTGGAGGAATCATTGACATATCAGACCTCTGAGGAGCTGTCTGACTCTTCCCGTGCACGTGAGTTTTGACTTGCTCCTTGCTGACTGTGCTCTATCGTGGAGCGGGTCTGATACGCGTGCTGGCGTTTGCGCTGGTTCCTTCTCAAAGATCTTCCACTTCCAGGTTGGTAATCATTCTTTTATCACATGAGAGGGGAGATAAAAAGAAAACGAGTACATATGTAGTAATGAATGATGGAGTTAAAAGATGCTTTTTACAGTGACTTTTTACAGACATTTTTTAGAGATATAAGTTCTATCCCATCTACAAATGCCAACCAGAAATTTTTAGAATTAAAATTGAAAAGACATCTTTTAGAGACTCGTGGTTGCTCATTTCAGCATATGTTGGTTTGTGTTTTTTTTTTTAGTTGGATGGTTTTTGTTTGTTTGTTTAATATCAACACTACTTTTTAAAGTATCTTTCTTTCTAAGAAGGACTTCTATGATGAAATACAGTTTTTCTAAAACAATACCTGCAGCCTCTGAATAAGACAAAAGTTGGCCACTTAACAGGTGGCACCTCTAATTTCTCCTAATTTCTCCTAATTTCTGTAAGTCAAGCTGAGCATTTACCATGCTACTGCTCTTTTGCTTTCCCAGAATCATCCTACAACTGAAGCCTTATGCACACAGATTTACCATTGTTTTTTGCACGCCACAGTATAAAAACAGACAAGTTACAGAGAAAAGCAGAAGAGCCAAAGTAACAATTAGCACTATTGATCTTCTAAATCAATTCCTTTCATTTTATTTTTTAGCTCAGTTCTCAGAACTGTTTGATACCCAGGTTTCTCACTTCTGGTGAATTAACTTACCCGTTGTAAGGTATGGGATGGCTTTCTCTTCTTTTCAACAGTGTATAAGCCAATTTCAATTTCACCTTTGGCAGCTCGACATTCTTCCTGGACCCTAATTATACACAGGAGACATCTGTTTTATTCATTACATCATTATATATTCAACAGTCTCTATAAATTAAAATACATTTGTGCCTGCTGCCACAAGAAATCTGAGCACAGGTCCTCCAAACAGTGTTTACATACACTTCACTCCAAGGAAACTTAAATGTATTACAATTAGTGTGGGGTTTGTTTGTCTTTAAACAAACCTTCAGCAAGACAGAAGAATCAGAAAATTGAAATTAAAAAGAAGGAACCACTGAAAAAAGACTTAATTGAAAAGAGAAGGAATTACTATTCTTAAGCCTTCAGCAGAAGCTACCACTCTGATCCTACTATCCGAATTTCCAAACAAATCCCCAGAAACCTGACATTATTTCCGAGAAATCATTTTTAAAAACCTACACGAGGTGTATGGAAGAATCACTAAACATCGTACAATTTAATCTTCTTTTCCTATCTCATTTGGCCTCTTACTTGCTGATGCCTGGAGGAAGCTCATTCACCACGACTCTTCTGCTCCATGCCATGAGATCTCTCTCTGTTGCCATTTGACTTCGGGGAGCATTGTGATGCATTTGCCGGACCCCTTCAATCTGACCGCTTCTCCGGAGACCAACGTTTGGTGGAGATGCAATTTCCAAGGCTGGACTTCGAAGAGCTGAGGGGGTAAAAAAGATTTTTCTTCACTTCTATGACCAATCAATAAAACCCAAAATTTGAAGCTTAACGATTGCAAAGCGTCTTTATGGAACACTAATTAGATGTCAGGTGGCTTTGTCTTTTGCTTCAGATGAAGGTTTTTACATACTGGCTATAGGCTACTGCAGATGTATCTGTTTTAGTAATATCACTGTAGCTTGCAATACCTTAGAGTTGTCTGTGGCAAGCAGAGAACACAACTATAAGAAAAATTGTAAAGGCATTTAAGCGACCCTCAAATCCAAACCTTGTCTTCTGTTTAAAGGCTTTTAAGTCATGAGTCTTAAATTCTGTGGTAGAAGAAAAGAGATTATCAACTAAAATAACAGATTGCTGCAAGGTTTAACATGTCTCTTGTGCCTATACCTGTATTTGCAATGCTTACTTTGTGTGCACAGGCACACTTTTCATCAGGTGGCACAACAGTGCAGTGCTACACACTCAGAAGAAAACAGACTGAAATTTCACGGTAGCAAGAAGAAAATACCGCTGACAAAATCAGAATTGCTGCTGTCACTGCCTTAATTTATCTCGTTATTTGGGAAAGCACCGACATTTTCTACACGCTTAAGTATGGCTAACAGCATGAGAAAACTGAATTTACAATTGTACTACCCTGTATAGAGATATTCAGCTATTAAAATATCAATCACTTCATGTATATTCTGACTCACACAAATGGGTCAGTTCATGTGGGAAAAACATTGACAGTGCAAGTTCTGCAAAGTAACTACATTCATTTCTACTGCCTCACATACAGAAACTGCCCCTCACACAAATACAGGGGCATTTGTATATATTTTGCCAATACAACTGAAAACTGGGATTACACATCAGTCTATCATAAGGAGCAGAAAGGACTTCCTGTGAATTGAAGCTGCCTGCTAGGCCACATTCATGACAACACCAATCCAGATCAAAGCAAAAGTCTATTTTATGCAGTTTCCAGTAATATTTTTCCTATTCCTTCTTGAATTTAAACTCTAAAACTAACAATTTAAGATTTGCCAGGAAGCTCAAATACGAAAGTATAATCAGTCATTTAACCTAAAATTAATCTATCAGTGATGTGAATTTTTTAAAAGCTCAGGATGATTTGCAGCAGAAGTCCACAGCATCTGTTCTGTTATGACAACTGCACTCAGTCAGCTGCTTCACAGTCAGCTGTTCATATCTGACTGAGTTTGTTTAAAATTTTTAATCACTTTGCATATTAAAACTACAGTCACAATAGCAGAACACTCACTAGGAGAACAATCTCAAGCTTTCTCAGGAAACATTAAGACAGAGCAGACATGTTTGTTTTATAAACACTGATGCTCAGCTTTAGCATTTATTCTGCACAAGGAAGCCATTAGCCTGTCACAACGTTGTATTCTATTGGCATTCTCTAATTACATGCTGTTAACTTGACATTATTCAGTTAGAAAGTATCATCTCCATAGTGATTGACATCGAGACAATATAGGGAACTTTATTTTTAGAAACAATTTATACTAGAATTAGCATATTAACAGTTCTAAGTAATCAGATAATGTCCAGTTAGTAAGTGATCGACTGCACCTTCAACATTTAATTTCTTTGACAGTATTAGCAGGTGCCCCAGACAGGTTAATAAAATGTGCAAGAACAGGAGAAAATGTTGTGAAAGACATTGCCCTAAAACACAAAAACTTGAACACATTTTGATTAGTACCTTACTGTTCTTTGCTTAAAGAAATGACAGAGGAAAAGAGGGGACGCCTACCTCCATTAACAGAGTGAGATCTATTGAGTGGAGGGTTTGGAAGAGTTTCTCCTTCATTGATTAGTCTCAGATCCTGCTCCCTTTGTAGCTCTCTGATCATCCCATCAAGGATACTTTCATCTTGGTCATTAGTTTGCTGTCCAATGACTTGTTCAACTACTTCACCATCACCTTAACAAGAACAGGGTCATGACTGCTTACAAAATGTTTAATTTCTGATTTATAAACACTATAGAAACAATCAAATTTTAAGTTGTGCTGTCTGCCCTGCAAAACATCTGATTACAGGCCGTCTTTCTGCTCTCAGAATGGAAGCAAAGTTTAAAAGATTATCTGCAAGAAAAACCTATACTTACAGACTTGCACAGAAAATAAAAATAAGAACTTGGTAACAACAGAAAGAAATTATACTTCAGTAGGTGACAGTGGAAGACCTCTATCAGAGATCAGCATTTTTCAAAGCCTGTCTTACTTTCCTTGCTTCCTTACTCACATACATAGTCACATCAAGAACAACAAGGACAATAGTTGAAGCATGCTGCCATCAATGTATATAGAGGTCCACAGATGTTGGAATACTGAAGTCCTTGTCTTATCTCCAATCCAGTTAATCCCATACACTTCCTTTATGCCATGATGGTACCCCGTTTGTTATTCTACCCTACACTGATTTTAAACCACTTGTTTCAGAAGAAACAGAATTAATCTTTATAGTACCATCCTGCTGAACTGGTGCTCAATACTGTGCAATACATGCATTATGCATGAGACTTAGACAGCATACCATTAGCTACATAACCCAGCTGAGGAATAAGTTGTTCATCCTTGCAATTTTCTCTCCCTGGTACCAGCCGCTGGAATCTCGTGGGATGAGGATTTCCATCAACATCCACCAGAAATGGAGGAGGCATAAGATGTGGAGCCTGCTGAGTCTGTTCGTCCAAAACATAGTTATTTGCATCACGGATCAGTGGTCGGTAATCTGTATGGAAGAACATCTGATCTGGAATCTGCAAGAAAAGCAATTTAGAAAATAAATAAATGGCCATTTGCAGCTGTCATGAAGCTTTGGAATGGCTCCCATACCCACATACCACAACTCCTACACTTAGAATCAGCAGAAGAAATGTTATGACAGAGAACAGACACCTACCACAAGTGTGTTTTATTATCAAGACTTGATGCAAATATTCAACAGTAAATTATGCCAAGGTGAATTGAAAGAAGATAACGTCTTGCTCCCTTATCTGGTAATTCTTGTCTACATCTTTCTGATTTAGATGAACATTAACTGCTCCCTCATTTAATTAGTTTTAGTCCAGGGCATGGGGGAGACAACAAACTAACACAACTACTCCTAAGACAAAATGAGGCCAAGAGAGATGAGTTTAAGATTCACTCAACTCACCTTTTCATAATATTTACTGCATCCAAAACCAAATAGCAGCAGGTGTCCATGAGAGTCTGTGCAGGCAAAATGCTGTCCATCTGGTGAGAACTTGCAATCAAAAACAGCTCCATGGCCTTGGCCCTCAATCTGTATACAAACAGAGCATCCCTTTCAAAATCATGTATTCTCTATGAAAAGAAAATTTCACTTGTCTCCTTCAAGTACTAAATTCTAATTCTGTGAACACTCCCAACTCACTCAGTGCTTGCTTTTACTTTTCTACTCAACTATTAAAGTATCACTGATCAATAAAGTCAAATTACTCCTTTGCCCTGAAATTTCAATGCAACTTTTAATTTATGTTCTGAAACAAGAAGTCTAAATTTTATTTAGTGGAAGATACAGAGCAAGTAAAGAATTCATACACACAGTAGCTCCATACCAGCAGATTTCACAGCCTCAGGTGCCAGGAAGCTAGCTCAGGTCCTGAAACAGCACAGCTGCATTTACTCAGCAGAGGAATCAGACCAACAAACCTGACACTGCATGGATTCAGACAGATGCCACACAAGACAACCACACTGTTTTCCAGACCACAGCATTGTGTTACAACACAGAAATTTACTGGCTTTCATTGCTCTGCCTTGGAAATGACTACTATCTTTTGCATAGTATAGCTATATAAATGAGTAATATTCTGACCTAACAGATCCCATGAAAGACTTGCTGCTACACTTAAAAACACAATAAACACATCTGGGTGTTGCCTTCTGAGGAGTATAGTGTTTTCTGCTAAATATGCAGGAACTTTCCACTAATCTTGTTATAATGTTGTTCACAGCAAGTACATGATGAAATTCACTCTTGCATCAAAACCAGTTTTACATAAATGTAAAAAAACAAAACTCCTTCCCTGATTATTCTTACCATGTTAAAGTAATTACGAATTTTTGTTCCTTTGTCTATATCCCAAATGAAAATATTTCCATCGTGACCCGCGGAAAGTACAATCCTTTGGTCAAATGGATGGGCCTCCAGAACAAAAACTTCATCATCATGACCCTATAGCAAAAGCAGGGTAAAAAAAAAAAAAAGTCATGTTTTTCCACATAATATCTCTGAATACACCAGTATTTAGTGTGAGGTTATATAAAACAGCTCAGTTTACTAGATCTTAAACTAGAATTGCATCTATACTTAGCTGACATTTGTCAAAGGTTTGGTATTATCATACTTTCTGCTTCAGACTGTAGCTCAGCACAAAAGGAGGAGAGGGGAGAGGAAGCAGAAATCAGTTTTGAGGACAGCTGCAGTCCTTTAGTCAGGCCAAAAGCTGTGACCTCCAAATAGGCTCCCTTGTCAGCCAACAATCAGCACGGTCTAGCAGCACTCTGATCATCAGCTCCTTTCCTCATGATACACATCCTCCCAAAAAGCACAAGACAGCTGGCATATTTCAGGATAAAACATTGCTTAACAGGAGGCATGAGGTTGCAGCTCAGCCTCAAATCACTTTTAGAGTTCACTTATAACAAATAGGGATTATTCACTCAAACTTTACTCACAGATAAGCTATGAAGAAGCTGCCCTGTGGATGAGTTCCACACTTTGAGAAGGAAATTGTTGACTGCAGTGATGACAGTTGCATCATATCTGTCCCAAGCCACCATTGTAACCTTCAGTTTAGTCACCTTGTCCTCTCCAGATGCTACATTGTTTCTAAGAAAATTCATAATTTAAAAAAGAAATAAATCAGTCACTGCACACAGAAACATTTAACAGCACTAACTCAATTTGAAGTTAGGGAGAGCACAGTGGCCATCACTACTGGCTAACGAAGAAGAAGGAAGGGGAGCGTTTGCAGTAGCAAAAAACAGACACAGAAAATGCTCAGTACCACTGAGATTTACAGTTATCTCGCCTTAAAAAGAACAAGTTTCCCTCCTGTTCTTCAGTGACCATCTTCACGTACCATAACTCCTTCCTTCATTTCTACAAGACATTTTTTCTTATTGGTCATCAACACAAGTAAACTCTGTAGTGAGCAAAAGCTTCCTAAATAAATCAGATTCAGACTTCAGCAGCTAGCTTATTAAAACTGTAACCATTTGAAATACAAAGAATGCAGAAAAAAAAGCTGCCTAGCGGATTTCCCCTGCGCTGATTTTTGTTATCGTACAAATTCAACTAGAAGGCCACTTCAGAAGTCATCCAGTTCAGAAGTCTGTTGGAAAGGACCTCAAACAGAAAAATTCAAAAATCTAATTGAACCTGAGAACAAAATGAACACAACTCATCTCTTACCTGAAGGCTTAGGGAAAAAAGCAATGTTAATAATTGCTCTGGATATACATTTCTATATTACAAGAAATTCTGCAAAGCAACTCAGGTCTTGGATTAAAATAAGAAACCTGGGAGCGCATTTACACAGTAAAGAAGGTTGTTATGGAAAAGAACCAGTGTCAAACCTCTCATCAACCTTCTGCCTACTGTCATTCATCCTCAAGTAAGTAAAAAAAGCACCAGTGGCCTAAATTCATTTATCTGAATAGTAACTGAAGAAACTGCCTGTTATTTGTAACAATGGCTGCACAACGCTGGAAACTGCCAGACGTCCAGATTCACATTTGTTTTACATATTGTGCTCTTCTTAACGTTTTAAACTCAATGAATTCATTACAATTTAAACTGTACCCCATAGTACAAAAATACAACAGTATACATGACATAAAATGAATACTAATGACCTGAGGAAACTATGGCAGTAACTACTAGAACTTTTTTGACAGGTGAGAGAAAACAAGAGTTGTCTTCAATACACACACACATTTATTTTAAAAACATACAGGTCTGCATAGGATCAATGAGGTTCTACTGCAAATCTCTTTCCATGAGGTGAACTCTATTTGACATTCTTACCTCATCAGTAAAATACTAAGTATTCCCCAACCACTACAGTCAGGATCTACCAATTATTAATATTTTCTTCTGGGGGCTAATTAACAGATAGGGCCATGGCATTTTCAATATACCACAAACATGCGTTTTTAGTTAACTTAAAGTTAAGTAAGTAGTTTTAAATTCCATGGCAGATTTTGGTCTTTATGTACACAGTGGTAAGCAGCATGCTTTGTTCAGTTTGCTTTACCCTGTCATTTTAGTCGCCATATCCAGGACTACACTCTTCCATTCTTGCTGATGATATTGCCATACTCTTGCCGTTCCATCTCTGCTTCCGCTGACAAATCTTAAACTACGGGGTGGAGGTGGAAAAACAAAAACAAAAAAATGAATCACGAAATTCTGAATAAGCATTAAGTCACTGCTGCTTCTGTCTAACACCCAAATGCCCTTCTTACATGCTCACTGTTCTGTATCTTCATTATGGAGCTTTCTATCCTCAGCAGCAACATGCTCAGAGCATACTAAATGCTGTGGCAAGAATGTTTAGGAGTTTGGCAGAGGACTGTGTTTCCCTCTGCACCAAATATGCACACACATACATGTGTACAGGTAAAACACTTGGAGATGCATACTTGTGTGTATACTCTTGCCTTATTCTCTATATGCCTACAAACAGGCATGTTTAATCTGTCATAAAATCCCCATGAACTGATACCACAGAATAAAAAGAAGCCACAAAATTTGGCAAGCCAAGAGCACACGTGTTCAAGTCAGTACAGAAGCTAGAATGTATTTAATACTTTTTCAACACTTATTCTTTATATTGTTTGTGCATCTCTGATCTAGAGAATATAATTAAAAGACAGTGAGGTTACAATTTTCATATCAGATTTTGTACAGCAGAAAACAGTTTATATCTCACAACATTAATTACATTTGGTTATAGCTAGCAGATGGCCTTGGAATGACTTCAATGTCGTAATTCATACAAGCTGCACATTCCCTTTTAAATGACATCAGCAAATCCCTTGAGCAGTTCATAGTGGAAGCAAAGAGAAAGAAATTACATGCCAAGAGTCTAGCATAAATTATAATGCATTAACTTAGGGAAAAGGTGAAGACAGAAAGGAAATACCCACGCTGAATAAAAGTAGTAGCCCTGCCTGTGAAGCTGAATACAAAACCATATCATAAAGCTTTGACCATCAATATTAAGAAGTCATTTTTGTTGGGAATTTTGAAAAAAGCTCCTCAAATAACATTCTTTCCCAGGAAAGCAAAAGCCTTTAAAAATGTACTACATTTACATACAGAAACAATGATTGGTTCACCTTTTCACATTTCTTGGCCTGAAATTTTTCATGATGATGAAAAAGTGTTTAAATATATGCATGACAAGCTTTCCTGCTTTATTTATTATTTTTTTAATATAAAATAAAAACATGGTCGTAACTTTTCCATTTAGCATATGAGTATAATTTTCTGTGACTACCTGACTTAATACCCTCAGAGGGACTTGTGCTCTCACATTCCTTGGAAGTAAGGAACTGTTTGTACCATTGTATCAGTACACTCCCACATAATTTTCCACGACAAAGATTTCTGAGTACAGGTGCAGTTGCTCTGGCAAAGGCACTGCTTTGCTTGGATGACTCCTGCACGCAAAATCCCTTAAACCTTCTGCCTAGCAAAATAAGGAAAATGAGCAAAAGCTGGCATAAATGCATTTACATTAGGATATTGGTCACTAATCATAGCTTGTCATACTGCACTCTAACACAGCTATGCTGCAAAAGCTTGTCACACTGATATGCCTATAGGAACCTCTCACCATGGGCATCCTGATTGCAATTCCCACAGAAGCAACAGCACCCCGACTTAATGCAGGTTTAAAAAGCAAAAGTAGTCATCTAAACTAATTAGCTGGAAATTCAGGATTTGCCTAAAAATTCACATTTTTGCAGAAATGTTGTCAGACAGAAGCAAATTTCTATAAATAATAAAGCAGACCAATAAACTTGTCTACGAGAACCCATAGGCCCACTGAAGAGCTGCTCTGTGCTTATTCTCCTTCAAGAACAAATCAGATTTTCTCCTGTCATTTTGGAGGCTGTTCATCATATCATGTTCTTCACTAGACTCCCACTGAAGTCAAGTCAAGAACTGGCGAATTCATTAAAACAAGCACACTTCCCAGATTTTTCAGAACTGAGCACCAGAAGAGAGAGAACTTGCTTGGTCAATGTGCCCAGAGAGGGCCTCACAGGAGAAACCATTCACCAAGGAACTAAATTAGACAGATAGCAAAGGGTGGATGACCTCATGGCTCAGCAAAATACCAGCAATGTCATATTATTTAGAAAATGTTTTCAAATTATGCAAATCATTGGCTGCTTTCTGGTTCCCAGCTGATATAAAAGATGCAGAAAGCATAGGCAAGAAAGGCTTAAAAACTAAAAAACAAAAACAAAAAACCCCACAAAACAAACACAAAACCCACTCCACTAAAATAAAAACCAACACATACATAATCTATCAACAGCCCTACCAGCTTAAACAAGATAAGTGCACAATTAAACAAAGAAAAAAAAAAAAAGGATCCTACATATAACAGTTCTGCAGTTCAAAATTATGGGAGGAGATCTCCTTTGAACACAAGAGCTAACTGAAGTGCTGCTATCACTGGTGGCTAGTCCACTGCTCTAAGCTGGCCATCAGCACAAGTTGAATTTGGCAAACAGGTGTGGTACAGCCACCATGCTACCCCTTTGCTTCCTGGTGCTCCAGAAAAATAGGTGGTCAGAAGTCATTACCAAATGAGCCACACAAATAAACAGGTAAGTACATATGCTTGCTCTTCACCTCACCCTAACAGGACTGAAATGATAAAGCAAAGTAATTGGAAAATGAAATCCCAGATCCTACCGTAAACCTGAAAACCTGAATACACTCAGTTGCTACTGCCAACTTCCTCAGATAAAAGCACCTTGCAACAGAAACCCCATTAATGAAGATCAGATCACAGCTCTTTGCAGATGATTGCACTCCAGTCCATGAAGCACACTTGCTTGTCTGACCATCTACGAATCTGTAACAGTTTTAGCTTAGCTTATGTCTATTACAGTGCTCTTTTCCAGAAGTAACCCTTCCTGTACTTAACAAGCCTACCTGTGAGGTGAGACACTAAAAGGATACAAAATTTGGTTTCCTATTTACTCAATTTAATTAAAAAAAACAAAAAACAAAAAACAAACAAACCACACCAAGAAAAGCAGAGTCACAGAATGTTTTTTGTTGTTACAGCAGAAGACAGCAAGATTAACCTTGCGGATATGGTACACTTAACTCCTAGTACACTTTAAATAATTTGTCTAAGATTAATAAGAGCCCACATGCAGTCTTCCTGTTGCACTAAGTTTACTTTGGATTATTTGAAATTTAAATACCATACTTTCAATGGAAAAATCCCAGGGCAGCCACTCACCTGTCTCCATTGTTACAGAACTGGACTGCGACAACTTTGTCCTAAACAAGGAGGGAAAAAATAGTAGTAAGTGCTTTGTAAGATGAAACACTCATCCAAAAAGATCTCATTGCTGAACTGCTATTTAGCAAATTACACCTTCCTGTGCGTCTCCTGTAATACATTATCATATAAATTCAGAAGTCACATCCCCTATTAAAATTTCCCCAAGCAGGCATTTTGTGTTAGACATCAAAAGAGAAAAATCTCGAACAGGCAGCGAATCCACAGCTTTGCAGAAGGAGTTCAGAGACGCAAAGGATTTCTAGCTCAGCCTCTTCAATACTTGCATATTTAGGAGGAAGAAGCTGCAGCAGCTCTGCTCTTACCTGAGCACAGTCTTCCTGCAAACACCACAGGGCAAACCCTGCCTGGGAACCCTGCACATTTAGCACTGCACTGTTAACAGCAGTAAGGCACTCCCAGAGTCCCAAGGTCTGGTAGGTACAGCACTCAATACAGTGGTAAAAAAAATGACTTAACAACATACATAAGAGGTTTGCAATTTTTAGATAGAATGTTAAAGCAGTTCAAAATATTTTGTCCAGCAACAACTGAAAAAGCAAACAAACCTCGGTTTTATTTCCACTTCTTAATTGTTGAGAAACTAGCATTAAATTTTAGATGTTTTTTAAAAATTATTATTTTATTTTGCTTAATACTTATATTGGCTACATGCACTTGCTAATCTTTCCTCCCACAAGCATTCCCAGGTCCTGACAAGTGTCCAGCTCAGGACTTCTTCAGGGGCAAGCTAACAGCAAGCTGAGTTATTAAGCAAAATTTCAAAAAATCAAAGGAATTTCACTTTATTCCCAAGCTGACGTGCTGAATACAGAAGACAAGATCTTGCCTGTGAGTAAAACATTTGCTAGATTTACTGACTTGAAGCTCTGAGATGTAAACACAGGACTCATGACTCCCACTGAAGTTCAATTAATCAATTTAGTCCTCAGCCCTAATGCACAAAATATTATTAAAGTTGGTGGCTGGGCTATTACAGTATAAAGATAAATGCTCCAAGCTCCTCATCATTCAGAAGCCTATCAGTGTTGCTGTAAGTTGGTCTTTCTGTTATATTGTTTACAAACACAATAAATAATACTGACATCCTCTGTTCTCAGTAACAATTAAGAAATGAAGACAGATTTGACACTATTTTAGTAACAGCTCTTTATCTGATTTCATTAAAATCAAGACATTCAGTAGTTTTAATAGAAACCATCAAAACTTGGAAACCTAGAAACTAGTGCTGAAGGTTACACAGATATTCAGAATATTTTTAATTTTAATGAGAATCCCTCTGCACCACTAGTGAAAGAATACTCTTAAGTTTTCCTTGCTTTCTAAATGATCTAGAGTCTGACGCCATACTCTAAGACTAGAATGACTTTGAGGTCTTTTTATTACATGGATTTTTGTCACAAATCAAGTTAAATATTCAAGAACAAATTCAATAGGAATAATAATGTCTTGCATGAAAAGTGCTTTAATTCCCCACCCCATCACAGACTCTCTTCAGGAACAAATGAAACAACCCAGTCCCTCCTCCCATTTCCTGGAATGAAGGGGATAAAATACATAAAACATTCTGCACGCATCTCTGGCTTTAGGGGAATTTTAAAATAAGTATATTACAAACTTCAAGGCATTAAAATACCACGGTGTTGAGAACCAACCAAACTCTGAAGACAGAAAAGAAATTTAATAGCGTATACAAAGCCTAAGTTCTTGAAATAAGGTAGGGGGAAAAGGAAGATTTCCTTTCCTTTTGTCTCTTACCGTGTGAGATTCCAACTCTGCCATTTTCTCTGGAGACTCTGAGCCCAAATAATATATTCTTATCACGTGGTCAGTACTACCTGTTGCAATGAACATGCCACCTAAGACGGACAGTGTTTCTGGTGAGAAGTCATCCAAGGAACAACTGAATTCAATTACTGCTTTATTGTCAAAGAAACAATTTTAAAGAAGTTTTAAGCCGAAAATTTCAATGTAATACAAACACACATCCTGAAAAAATAAGGCAACCCTGACTAGTTTTGTTTTAACCTGTACTTTCTCAGACTGCATCAACTTCAATGTAACAATGAGGTCTGCAACATGTTACAGCTGTAGGTCTTTGTGACCAAAGGAAGAAAAATTGCAAGTTGCAGCACTCATCAACTAATTCTACTAATTCTACTGCCTTCCCCCATACCTTCAGAAATTATCACAGTGCCCTCAGTCAGCCTATGCAGAACAATAGAAGGGGAGCAATTTGATATCCTCACTGGCCAAACCAAATGTGGAAGCACATCTATTTGAAGTGTTTAGAGAAATTATTGATGAACTGGGAGTCAGCGATGAAGTTATTTTCTTGTAATGTTTGTTTGTTCTGTTAATAATACTGCAGAGAAGAAATGGGTGCTCGTGTGTAGCTTACGGCATCAAAATGGTATTAGCGATTTCAGGACCCCAGATTTTAAAAAAGGAATATATTAAGGGTTGTGTGGCTCTAGAATAGTTCTCAAACCCAGGTAACAAAAATAAATAAGAAATTACACAATTTTACTAGTAAGAATCACTATTTTTGAGGATTAAGAGCTGTAACAGAGGATCTTATTCAAGCTGATATTTTCAAACGCATACAATGGAACATAAGGACTCAGTCACAAATCACTCAACAGATTATTTTATACTTTGCTCTTCAGTACTAAGTAAATTACTGAATAGCTGCTCACTAATGAGACAACTCTGTCTCCCTCCTGCACTCCTGGGCTGGTCTGGCCTCCATGGTTCTGCCAAGCAGCACCACGTGCAGCCTGGGCAGCCTGAGGGAAAGAGGGAGGGCAAAAATGCCCTGAAGGAAATACTGGGAATTATTGAAGCCCAAAGAAGTCTCTAAGTGAAAACTGATCTTTCTAGAATACAGCCAAATTTGGAATTGGCAAAAGAGCCATCTCTAAACAGAAGTCACCTGTCTGGAAGATTTCAAGAACTTTCTATTGAAAATCCTTACTGGAACTTTTATTCTGAGATGGTAAAGACATTTAAGTCAAATTTAAAACAAAGAAACAAGCACACACACATGCACAAAAAAAAAAAAAAAAAAAAAAAGCTTGAAACACACACTGCACAAAGAGATTCAAACAATCACAGTTTGACAGTGCTGTGATTAACTGAAAAAGGCTTTGGTACCACTTGTATTTATAAAGAAGTAATAGCTCTGTCACCCACCAGAGGAATTACAGTTCAGAAAATACTTTCCAGCTACCTCATATGGCATACATACCAGAACTGAAAGATGAACAAGATATCTGAACGCCAGGCCTGGACCTCTCCGCAAATTTCACAGGGCGATCCCTATATGTGACATCACAGCATTTTACTCTTCATTCCTTTGCTCCCACACTGCAGCTCGCAAGGTCAGCGCATTCGTCCTAAAACCTTTCGTTTCGTAATTCACACCTTATTTTGCTAGAGCTTATTTTTATTTGTTTACTAATAAAACTACCATTTTCTAAATTGAAAATATTTAACTTATTTATAATTATATTAACCAACTTAAATCTACTTAAAACAGAACTTGGCAAGCCACTTGTATAATAGGATTTATTTCCTACTAAGTGTGGCTTTGGTGACATCTATAGATCCGTGTTCTTCTGATCAAAAGCAATGAAATATCTTTGCTTGTACATTTCACACAAAGATGTGGTCCTAACCACAAAAGCATAAAGTTCTTCCAAAGCACTGCCTAGCAAAGCACATAAAAAAGAAAAAATAACCTCCCCTCCGCATTGTAACACCAAGACTCTGCAAGGCATGTAAGATAAAGTGCTCTCTGCCCCACACGCTGGTGTTATGTATGGCAGCCACACCACAGTCATCCAGCAGCAAGTATATAGCAGAACACATCCCCAAGTACTTACTCATAGAGAAGGAACATGCCCTTAATTACCCCAGTATTCCTCTCCATTTTAAAATTCCAAATAAATTTGTTTTTCTTTTAAAATAATAATAACAATCTGACAGGCTTACTTAAACTTCATGGTGTTTGCATGCCACTGCCAGAAACAGATTGTTCCATCAGCACCAGTAGAAGTGAGGTATCGTGTTGTGCCTTTTCTTGCTGGAGAGAACTGAAAATAAAGTTTAGAATTCAATCAGCTAATTTCATTCTCCCCCTTCCATGCTACAAATTAGTAAATGGACATTGACAGGAATATTTTTCATTAGCATGTTAACTTTCTCCTCAGGATTACAGAGAGCAGGAACAGGCACAAACATAGAAAATGAACTTGCATAAAAATAAAGCCAAGAAAATAGAAACAAAAACCAAACACGTTTTGACCAGCGAGCCTCTTCTGGCCACAGAAAATTCAACTCCAAAAGGAAACAAGCTTAGTCCTCCTGACCAGGGCAACAAGATGAGAGAATACCTCTGTAATTCTCTATGTGCATGACATTTTCCTGTTTCCTCAAAAAGTCATAAAGAATTATGATTATTTTCTAAGTTATCAGAACTTCTAAAAAAAGCTTGTGAGGAATGTTATATATACATTGTATACCTATACCATAAATAATATTTTGTTTAAACAATTATATATAACACAAAATCAAGTTGTAAAATATTGCCTTAATAATATAATAAGCACATTTCAACAGAGTTAAATTCAGACAAAAGTGGAAGTACAGACAAGGGGAAGAGACATGAGGCTCCCAGTTGCTGTGTACACAGCTTTCAAGGATGCCAGCTGTTTCCCCCTGACCCTGCCAGTTCATCTGATGCTCTCAGCTGGGACAAACCTACACTGCCAAACACAATGGAAAGAGAAATTTTATTTCCATCTGCTAGTACCATTTTATTTCAATAGCTTATGAAGAAATATTATTCCTTACCTGTATAGAAGTAATGGAAGCAGAATGGCCCTGCAGGACTGCAACTGGGGCACAGGTTCGAAGACACCACACTCTGACAATCTTATCACAACTGCCTGCTGCAAGCAGCGTGTTCTCATAGTTAACAGCCATGTCAGAAATCTCAGCTGAGTGCCCTCGCAGTGTTGAGAGCAGGCGTCCATCATCTGTAGCCCAGATTTTGACCAAGCAATCATCTGACCCCTAATGCCAGAAAAAATTTCCAAAGATTATTATAAAATAATCTACATGTTATGTGTCCATGATACACACGTGGGCTGTGGATGAACAAGAATCTAAAGCACCTCGAGATGAACAACTTCAGCAGGATTCCATAGAAACACATCTGAGTTTGGGAATCATTTTGTGATGGCAGGAATTGAGATGTTTGTAAAACAGAAGATACTCTTTTGATTTGCACTGATATACCTAATATACACTGCAAATATAACATCTCTCAGTACCTTCAGTAGTAATCAAGTTTCAGATGAGATGTTTAATTATGTGTTATTAACAGGAACGTTCATCTGTGCAAGCAGGAAGAATCCAATACTAAATATAAGGTGACCATAAGGGTGGAGGAAGCTCTAAGGAAAATGAGAACTTGAGCATGTGAGGCTCCTCAGAACCTCTGCCAGGCCCCGAGAGCTGCCAGTAGTCAGCTGTACCACGAGGTTTAATTTTTGTTGATGGAAGAAAGCTGGACCACAAAAAGAGAACTCATGGATATCATGCACAACTGAGAGAATTCAGTTTGGGACAGGATACAATCCAACAGCAGCTTATTGTAAAATTCTTCTACCTCTAATAGCAGCTACATAAGTGCACATTCAGTCTTAAAGTCTCAGAATATTAAAGACAATTTTTAGGCAGTTCACAGTTACTTGAACTATTCAAATATTAAAAACAATACTAATTTTGACCCTAATTCAAGTAGGCAAAAGAACAGCAGAATGCTACATTCAAGTCTCAGCCTGTGTTTCGCCAATGCTCTCCTAGGACTACCACTGAGCACTCAGGCACATCAACACAGTAACACTAAATATAATGTCAACATCATTTGACTTTAAATTACATTTTATTAGCTGCATTTAAGTTCACAGACAAATCAGTTTCAGTACTTCATATAACTGCAGATGAGAAAGATCTTATTTTTTTTTTTTTTTTTTCTATGATATAGATAAAAATGGAAAGGCCCTCACTGTGATCCAGAGTAATAACAATAATAATATTTCTGTTTGACCAATTCATAATTAGTGGGAAAGCTAGCAAAGAAAAACAGAGGTAACAATTAGCCTTCCAGGTAAACTGTACTAAATAGCTATCAATAAGAGGCAAGGGCAAAGAAAAGCCAAGACAAGATTAGCATTCACTCTTTAAAAATGCATTACTAGTTATTAATTTAAAAAATCTGTTGGTTTTTAAACACAACAAAAACCAAGTGCAGTATCATAGAAATGTATGTTATATATTATCATGAAAAACTGAAAATGGTATTCACATATCCATGTGAATATATACTGACATACTATGAAGTCTAGAAAGTACATTTAGCAGAGGCGTAAATTGCAGATGAACTAACGAGGCTCTTTATTTGTCACCAAGTTTTTACTGAAATGTAATGCCAGAATTTCCAAGGTTACCAAAGGTAAAATGTAGTTTCAAAAAAAAAAAAAAAAAAGTGTTAAGACTGAACTCAGCAAGCAGTATGCACAATAATTACAAAGTCCAGAATAATTCAGGTGCCATTTAGCAAGAAAGTCGATTAACCAATAGAAATGAGCACACATTTCAAGTGAGAGCTATAAGATGTGGACTGGAACAGCCCTTCTGTAAGGGTTGGCAAGTAGATGGCTGTTTCAGTCTCCCAGAGCCAGAAGCAATTTTAAAACATCAACTCAAATAAAAAGTGAAAACTAACAATGAAAAAGATGGATTTTCATATATATCAAATATTTTCTTCTTTTTCTGGAGGCTGTTTCCACATCTCCATCAAAAACAAAGAGGCTGATAAGGGACTCAAAAAGAAGAAAACCAAACTAAGCAAAGCAATCTTCAAAGAAAAGTTAAATTATTAGACTTACTGTAAAAATTCTTCTCCCACTGCGATCAAAGGCTATACAGTAAACAGAAGATAGATGCCCTAATATCCTCTTGTGCATCTTCATCTGTTGGTAGGTGGATGTTGGGAACAAGTGGCTGAAACGTCCACATCCAGTTAATTGCCGTGCAGAAAGAATATTTACTGGAAGAAAAAGTAATAATAAAAATTAAGACCTGCATTTTGGGTCCAGGACTCAAAGGAAACAAATACTGTGTCAATATAAGATTTGGTAACAACGTTTATAATCTATAAATCTGAACCCCTGCCACCTTATCAGGACATTCTGTACAGTCTTCCAAAAAATACACAACCATGAAGGAAGCCTATTACCACACACGATACACTTGGTTTCCTAACAAATATTAAAGCACAATAAAGTGTTTTCATAATTACTAAAAGTTAATCCAAGAGTTCAGATCACGAGCAGGCCACAGATACTCTGTGGACTTTGAAAATTTGGTATTAGTAATATGTAATTCCCATATAATAATCATCACAAATTTATGTTTGGATGGCATATCTTTTGTTAGTTTGTTTTTTAATTTGTGATAAACAAAGATTTATTTGGAAAGGACACTGGATCATACGTCAGGATCAAAAGTTTCCTATGTTTTCCATAAAGTCTCTCTCATTACTGGCAGTAGCAGCAACTTCCTTTCATTTTTAGCACGATATAAGAACAAGAAATATGCAGCACTGATGGAAAGAGTTCCAGTCAAGAGCATCAAGCACAGAAAAAACCCTCAACAACAAATGATACCAATATTGCCACTCCTAGGGGTCCTGACGAAAAGAGGCAGAAACCTCAATGCACAAAGGCATGAGGTAGAGACAAGCACTGCTAGCAGATTTGCTGAAGGTAACTATGAAGCTTTTCACTAGGAAATGAGAGACTAAGCATGGAATTGACTGCCAGGGCACACCACTGCAGGCAGATCATCATGGCTGCAGAATACAGAAAGACACTAATTCTAATCTTTGATCCAATGCATAATCTGAGATAACTCTCGGCATTTAATTTCACCTGTCCTAATTCATCCCACTTGAACGTTTGACTTCAGAGTTTTGAGAGTTCTTTCTGAACGCCACTCAAGATACACAGCTGTACTGGTGGGTTGCAGACTGCTTGCCATAGGAGGCTCCCTGCAGATCCCCTTATCTTGTGTACTGCACACTGCAGTAGGCAGGACTTCCCAGGAACCACGGGAAGCTCTCAAGTGCCTTTGAGCCCTTTATTTTAACAGCATACTGAACAACTTGACCCATTTTCTTAATTGCATCATCATACCTTTTACCTGCCTACACAAACACCAGGAAAAAAAAAAAAAAGACCATGGAAGATGTTAGAAAATTACAAAGTCAAGAAGCACCTTTCCAAAGAGTTATGAACTGGTTACACACTTCTGTATGTTTATAAGATTGAGGCATTTAAACACAGCAGAGAGATAAGCAGGGCAGAAAATGAATTGATCCGGGTTTACAGAAGGTAATTTTGTTTCTCAGTTTTGTGCCCTGAAACTTGGGCTATTTTTAATAATTGAAGGCAACAAAAAAAGCTACATATTAGAAAAAAGGCACAGTAGCATGAAAGAAGTCTGTGCTTGAAAAGAATCAGACTCCCACCATGACCTTATCTTCAGTCAATATTTGTTTTTCATGCAAAAACACATACACAGCAGTGCTAAAGAAGTAAAACACACTAAGCCGAATTAATTTACTATCTAACTACTATTCAAGCAATACCTGATATTATATAGGAGCTGCTATATTATATAGAAACTGCCTCCCTTAGCAAAGTAGAAATGAAGATTTGCCCACGTCTTACAGAAGGGAATAGAGTTCCCTTTGTGATAAATGCAGTAAAATGGTACCTTTTGCTTCGCCTATGCATTATTTTTATATATTGCTCAGACAAACCAGCTTAACACCTAACTTCTTAAAAACATTACAGTTCCCTTCACCCACGGCTGTAGAGTTATTAGAGCAAAGCGGAGAGCAACACAGTAATTCTGCTTTGCCTTTCAGAGCATACAAACACACAGTAACAGCTCACATGCCTTGAAACAATTTCAGATGGCTTTGAACATTTATAACCACACACACACACACACACACACACACACACACACACACACACGAGTGTGAATCAAAACGGTGCGACTGTATTTCAATATATTCCCAATAATGACAATACCTTCTGTGCACCGCAGTGTTTTCTTCTGGAAATGTAGCACTGCTCATTGTTGTAACTCACACAAAGGACACACCATGCACGAAGCATAACAGCCAGGCACAAGTGCATCTTAGAACAAAAAGGAAGCTTTCAACACACCTGATTCTCACTGCAAAAAAGCTAAGTGTAAACCAGAAATGTCTACCTCACACACAAAGCCATCACTGAGATCTTAGTCCACCCACACTTCATAAACTCTCACTGCCTTCAAAGGAGCTCTCATACACACATCAGAAAACAACAACAAACCATGCACAAATTCTCCTATCTTTTGGTAGAAGATTAATGGGAATAATACCTAAGTACAGGATAAAGAGCCCTGGGAAATCTGTCTTCTTTGTTACAATAAAGTTATTATACTCAAAGTCTAAAATCATCAAAAAAAAACCCTGATTCCCACGGGTAGAATTAGCAAAATAGCACCCCTAAAAACTTTGGGAAACACATCTAAAACGCTGCAGCACTTGGTGCCATACTAGGCCTAACAGCTGCCAGCTTCGCTCTCCTTCCCCTCACTATTTACTCCTAAGAAAAGGTTTCAAAACTATCTTGATGTTACGTGATATTAACAGTGAGCATATCCAGTCTTCTTTTTAAGAAATGAAGCAATTTTCTCCTGCAAACAGAACTGCTTTCTCAGATGAAGTTCTGCTCTTCTAGCTGTTAACATGACTGCTACCCATGTGCAGAGATGCTACAAACCTCACTGCTGCTGATAGCCTTTCACCAGCCAAAACATTCCTTACTCACAACCTTCTTGATCTCCAAAACACTCCCTACTGCCACACAGAACTTGGCACGCTCTCCCTTCGGTAAGGAGAGATTGCTGACCTCAGAAACGAATCCAGGTTATGCGATCCTTCTTGCAGCACACTGGTGGGGATGTGGACTCCTGACTCCTTGAGCTAGGGAAAGCCCTGGCTTACAGAAGCACCAACCCACAGCATTAGCTTGGGGTGCTGTGCAGTAAAACACTTCTCTGCTTCTCATAGCCCTTGGTCCTTGAACACACACACTTCCAAAACAAAACCTGCACTTCCAGTGCAAGTACAGGCATCACTGCAGTGAGTGCAGGGGACTCAAGCGCACTGTAAAACAGTAATTTGTAAGTGGCAGTCTGCACTGCTAGAGATAACAAGACAAATGTAACATCAGGCCTGAAGGCTGGGCACCTCTCAAAGCGTGCAGAAGAGAGGCATCTTGAGCCTGGATTTCACATGGACACTGGAAAACACATGCAGTTGGCTCAGACATGCCAAATACTTTCTCAAAGAGCAAATGTGTCACCAAGACAGCCAGACCTACTAAAAGCACAGAAACAAAGCATTCTGGCTTTCAGAGCTGCTGACTTCGTGGAGCTTCTTCATTCAGTCCCAAAGATACCATTAGCACAAAACCAGCAAAGAAAGTCTGAAAGGCCACGCTTACCAAGTTCACCACGATACCCTGCTGCCAGCAAGCTTAAATCTTTATCACAAGAATGGAAACGATATAAGAATTCTTCTACCCACTATTTCTACACCTGAGTTAACTATCTGCACAGGCAATTGCACAGTAGTTTAATTTCACAACTGCATGTGATGCTGGGCACCCATTCCTTCAGCACAACCACTTCCAGCACTTCAGCAAGTACTTCCACAAACCCCCAGGCTGTCCCCATCTGACTGCCCAAGGCCGTCCCATGTTAAGTCAGCACAGCACAGGAATTCACAATCATGCTGAAATATTAAAGAGCCTGCTTGTACTTCTTTGTTTAGCATTTTAAAAGAAGACATGGACACTGCAGCACCAAAACAAAAATCCCACTTAATTTTGCACAAATCCACACAGAAGAATTTTTTGACACTCGATTCAGGTACAGCCATTGGGAACACCAGAACCAAGCTCCTGTCTCCTGTACACCTTTAGAACAGGACATCTCTGTATTTTTAACTTTGCCCATACTTTTCTCTCTAACTGGTAGTTTATATATCTACTCCAAGGAAGACCATATTCTTCTAGAAACTGGTATTTACAAAAAGGAACTCCTGGCTATAAAGACTCATTTCCACACAACACTTCTGTATTTCTTAATAGCAGTTTGTGGGAAAATATCAGAAACAAGAAAACATTCTGTTCTCCAAGTCATTAAACAGATACCAAGCAAGTAGCAGAGACCTTTGTCATGATAGCATGACAGTGCTGAAGTCCAATACACCACTATGCTTCATCAGTAACACCAAGTATTCCAAAAAGCTCCTTTTGAAGTATTGATCCAGAACCCCTTATGGAAATACAATTTCTACAGAGATTGAGGTTATGCAGTCAACCTATAATCCACCTTATTAACAGTCCACCAACTTAATTGCTAATTTTAAAGTAAATTCAGAACCAGTCTAAAAGAATAAATACAGAGATATGCACAGAAGTAACGTTACCAATATATGGAAATAGTTCCTTCTTTTTTAAGTGACACAGTATAGCTCAAATCACCTGGCAAAAGCAGGAAAAGTACTAAGGTAATAGTTAATTATGAACAAGCTCTAGGCAAATATTCATTTATTTTTCATACAGGAGATCCATATTAACTTCACTCTTCTGTCACTGTTGCTGGAAGACCACAGACCTTATGCAAAGTGTGCCACTGGTTTCAACCACAAGCAGTCTCAACTTTGTCACTTTTACGTCAGACAAAGGTTAATTTTTAGTAAGGAGAGACAGTGAGAAAATGCAGAAACATAAACAAAGGAACAGACATTGTAGAAGCAGAACATTGTCACCACGATCCCTGCATCTCTAGAGGAGAAATGGCTGGGAAGGAGAATGGAATCTCCTTTAAAAAAAAATAAATTATTTTCAGAGATTAAACAAGGATCGTGGTCAGGAAAAAGAGGAAAAAAAAAAAAAAAGAAAAGAAAAACAGTATCCTTAGTACTCAGTTTTCTGATTTTTAAGTTAAATTAATCATGCCAGTTGGATGGAGTTCAACAGAGACTTCCCATTAGAGATTTCCACTCAACAGATAAGAGAAATGCACATGAATAAATCCCCTAACAAATCAGGGGAAGTCCATATATCTTCACAAAAATTCACATGGTAATCATAAATAAAATACCCTAATATGAAAAGAAATCATGACAGACAGGACTTATATTTATGCCTGTAAGAATCAAATTCCTTGCTGCAAAAATAGTTAATGAAAATTCAGACCATACTAGGAAAAGAGGTTTCAGTTTAAGCAAAACAGAGCTCTGTGATGATAAATAAGCTGAATGCACACATACATCTGAGTTCTATACAAGCTCTTTATCCAACTGAAAGCAAATACAAGTGCTGGTTCGGTGATTATTTCCTTTTATGTAGAAGGATGCTGCAAGTAGTCTGCTTTCTGTCATAATTGAACTAAAATGAATTCTTGAGATAAAAGTTATCTGGGAACCAGGTGCTTTATTCCAGCTAAAGATCTTGAATGGAAGATTGTCTACATGCTCCTGTGACCATGCCTTTTCAATCATATGGGCATATGCACTTTTTACACGGGTGTATCATAACAGATCAAAGCCTATTTCTACCTAAACATGTGTACATATATTATAGAAGGCTGAAGCCAGAAGAGTGCAAAAACAATTATTTGATTGCCAGTGAGGATTGTTTTTTAGATTAATTAATGGTGACATCTTAAAAAAGCCACTAATAAAAACATTAATGATAACAGAGCCAGCAGTGTGCCCTTGCTGCTCAGAAGGCAAATTGTATCCTGGGCTCCATCAGAAGAGGGGTGGGCAGCAGGGACAGGGAGGTGATTGTCCCCCTCTGCTCTGCTCTTGTGAGGCCCCATCTGGAAAACTGCATCCAAGTGTGGAGCCCACAGTACTGTTGGAGAGGGTCCAGAGGAGGGCCATGAAGATGATCAGGGGACTGGAGCACCTCCCCTATGAAGACAGGCTGAGGGAGCTGGGCTTGTTCAGCCTGGAGAAAAGAAGGCTGTGGGGTGACCTTATTGCAGCCTTTCAGTACCTAAAGGGAGCCTACAAACAAGAGGGGAATCAACTCTTTGAAAGGGTTGATAACTGCAGGACAAGGGGAAGTGGTTTTAAGTTGAAGGAAGGGATATTTAGGTTGGATGTCAAGGGGGAAATTCTTTACGGAGAGAGTGGTGAGGTGCTAGAACAGCTGCCCAGAGAGGCTGTGGATGCCCCATCCCTGGAGGTGCTCAAGGCCAGATTGGATGGGGCCCTGGGCAGCCCCATGGTCTGGTATTAAATGTGGAGGTTGGTGGCCCTGCATGTGGCAGGGGGTTGGAGATTCATGATCCTTGAGGTCCCTTCCAACCCTGGTCATTCTGTGATTCTGTGAAAACCCAAATTAGCAATTCAGCCAGAAAGAGTTAACTTTAAGATGGAATATTAATAAAAACACAGAGGAGGCAAAACCACCTCATTTATGTTTCAAAACTCACCCACGTTTGGTGGTTTCCCATAATTTACAGGTAGTTCGGGAGGCCGGCCTCTGTGAAGAGCTGCAAATGCTGATCCCTTCCATAGTGTGTGTCTGAAATCTGTATGGGAAAGATTAACAGCAGGTTAAAGAAATGATCAGCCAAGCCAGGCCTAACTGACCTATTCTTCCCAGAAACAACAGCATCAAGCAGCACTCCCAGCACCCTTGTCTGTCATTTCTCAGCCTCCAGGCTCAACTGTTCTCATGGAAAAGTAAAACTCATCTTTTTGAGTAGTTTGTCAGAAATGTAATTGGGGGAGGCTGTTAAGCTGATTTCTCATTCCTAAGCAATATGACCATAAATGTTTTTAGCTTGTTTTTGCTTCATTTTGGTGAATAGTTTCTAATCTGCTGGTAAGAAAAAGAGAACAAAAAAAGTAGGTGCACATTGTATTGAAGCAACACTGAATTCTGGTGTGATTTCAGTCTTTTTGGAATCCCAACACCTACAAGATCTCTCCTTACAAACTGTACATTTGAGAATATGCTCACATACATTTTTTCCCGAAAAGAGGAGAAGGGAAACCTTTTTCAATAAATCTGTTTTCTTGCAATTGGTGGCAATATGCCCTATCTTCAGATACTCCTCTGCACCCCTGTGCCCCTCCCCCCCAAAAGGAGCTATTAAAATGAAGACTGTTTTCTTTAAAGGCACTCCAGCTACACGCTGCCAACTGGCCTCAGAGAGCCTTCTCTCCAGAACAATAGCAATTTTTCTGAGACTGTTCAGAGAGCCTCAGAAATTAGACCTGGACTTCTTCCATTTCTGGCCATCTGGAGGGGAGAAACGAGCTGCCACAGTGAATAAGAACTGAAAGAGAAGGACAGTGCCACAGATTGGTAGGTCCATGTATCAGCACCTCGATCTCTGAACACGCTGTGTACAGGGTTACATGACTCAAGAAGACCTGAGAGCACCCTCTATTACAGTCCAAACTGTGCCACAAAGCATTCTGATGTTGCACCTTAAAAGCAATGCTTAAACTTCCCCAAATTGATCAAAATAACTGCGAATGCTAACGGTAAATGAAGCTTCATACTGAAGCACAACTAAGAGTAAAAACAACCAACCCATATGTGTCAATTTTGAAAAGGTACACTGTCCCACGCTAGCGAGTGCACACCGAATTGCAGTGTCACAGCAGCTCTTTTCCTGAAGGAAAAAATCCCATCATAAGTCCAGCAGAATTCTCTTTCCAACAAAGATGTCACTTAAAAAGCACTATACGTCAGCAATTCATCTAGCCTCTGTTCCCTAATTAACCCAGAGACCAGCTCTTAGCATAGATATGTTCTTTTCCATGTTTTCTTCTAAGATGCAAAGCAATGCAAAATGAAGAAATGTTTTTCCGCGAACCTCCCTGCAAATCTGAAGTTCTCCAGTTATAACAAAGTATGGATTCACCCCCAAACTTTGGATAAGTGATTGCAGACACCACATGCACCAGGTGACATCAAATGGATTAGCAAGAAGCTACCATCATGGTTATGCATCTGAGTCTGACTTCACATGCAGAAAATTTAGCGCTCAATTGGCACTGACACAGGAAGGTGCAGCTCTCCACCCCGGCTCTTCTCTCAGGAGGATGCTCCTTTGTCACCTCCAGCACTCTGATCCACGAGCTCATTTAATTCAGTACTTACCATAGCAATACCAAGTTTTGCAACAGTTCAGCTGTGAATCAGCACATCATAGGATCAGACAAGTTCTGGCTCCTACAGGGGAGAAGTGGCAGGGAGGAGGGAAGGGAGGAACCACTCTTTTCAATAGCAAATGGCTCTCAGATCCGCTTAGTTATAACACAAAAGTGTGCTTTCAGGATCACTGTCTCAAGCAGAGCAGTTTTTCAGAAGGACTAGACTGGTGTCCTATTCAAGAAGGGAACAGGGGATTTTGTTCAAATTAACTTCAAGCAAGGACAATCAGGAAACTATCACCAAAGAATGGCTCACTTTCTCCAACCCTCTAACTGCTGTCCCAAATGCCACCCTATCCTTCAACCTGTCTGTACAGCCAGACAATCAAATAATGGAATACACCAGTGTGAAAGATAGCCCAGCAAAATATATACTGTGGTAGGTTACTTCAGACACACGCACACGTTTATGCATTTGGAAAAATATGGCTATTTTTCAGGTGGGTCAAATCTCTAATCCAGTTCATCACACTGTTGACACAAATACCAGTCCAACAAGCTTGGGAGGGAAAGGAGAAGTAACAAGATAAGGCAATAATAGACACAGAGATGGCATTCCCAACCAAAGACACAACAACAGGGCCAGCAATAACTGTGTTTTAGCAAGACCACAATAAGTAAGCAGGAGCTGAAAAGCAGAGAAGATAAACCAGGGTTTACACAAACAGATACAGATAACACAATATGGATTGAAACAAAAGGTTTCGTTCCTCAAAACAAAATGCAGACAGACATAAATCTTACCTTTTGCTGCCCTTAACAGAGATTGCCGCCCAACTCCCAGCAAGGTCTGCACACCTAAGACGCTCTGTGGGATTTCCTTGTCTAAAAGTGGCCCGAGTCTCTCACAGATCCTAAGAAGATAATCCGGAGGGATGTGTGCATTGACAGCCACCTAAACATACAGATAACACAGGTATCTGAAAATAGGTTCATTTTTGCTTCTGCTAGTTTTTTTTCTTTTTTTTTTAATTCCTATTCAAATATTAAAATTAGTTACTTAAATGATTTCTAAAATGAAGATGGTGAAAGTGTCCTCAAAACTAATTATACCTAAAATATCTTTTAACATGTCACAGAATGTGGAATAAGTCAGACTAGAAAAATCAAGGTAATAACAGCCAGAGTAGTAATTTAGAACACTCTTTAATAACAAACAAAAGATCCCAGAAACACAGCATTCTCACTGCATTGGTCTGATCAAATGAAGTATTGCCTGGGGCTTCTCCAGTCTGTTTTACCCTTCAATTCATTCTTCTCACATGCACTATGTTTTGCTTAGCTGAAAAACCCTTGCCTTACATCACTGTAAGAAGTGCATGTACAAAGCCTGAAAACCCTACATATTATGCTTAGAGCAATACCCAGTCCTTATTTTCTAATTGTTAGGAATAGTAACTTTAAGACCCACATTTGCCAGCTCCTAATTAATTATCCCGAGAAATCATTCCTCCTTTTCTGCTTTAGACAGAGACTGTTTTCTATGGGGATATGATAGCTTCCCCAACAGTCTGTCCAAACAGCAAATAAGCTTTGCTGCCATGTCTAGAGTGCTCTGTAGCTGCCTGACTACTACTACACCCACCAGCTGCCAACAAAAATATGCAACATCAGAGTTCATTTGACTCCTTCAACCCAGGATGTAGAGCTACGACCACCTCTTTTCTAAGATCAACAACAGCCAGCCTTTCAACTCCTTGGTACCTGTGATTGAAGACTGAGAAAACACTGAACTAGAACTATTTGCAAGTGCTGTATCTCTTGCAACATTATGAAGAATAAGATGATACTAAAAGAGCTTTTTTTGTTTTCCCAAGCCACAAGCTAATGCCAAGTAATACTAAAGCCAACCTGAAAAGGCCAGAACAGCATTCATTGTAAAGAAACAGCAGCAGGCACATGTGTATGCACACACCCACCAGAACACTGCAGCTGTGTCCAGTCGTACCCAATGCTGGTGAGGAGTTCTAAGCACTCTTCAGCAACGCAAGTCCCTTCCCAAAGTGCAGGACAAGTTTTTGCCCAGCTTGACTACTTGATATAGTTTCCCTTGGCATCAGCCCCAGCGCTCATCTATCACACTGCGAACTGTTTCGGCTCCCCAGGCTCAGAGAACATTCAACCCACAGAAGGGAAAGGCACTCTGCAGAGCTGACTGTGATTCTGACAAGCTGATGGAAGAGCTTTCCACCAAAGCTGGTGGAAAGGAGAGAACCGCTTCCTTTAATAGCAGAGCATCACCAGACAGGTCTGGCTACTCTCTTCACCTACACCCATGAGAGAATGCCCCAGAACAGCAGAGGGAGCGGCAGGCAGCTGAAAAGAGGAACAGACAACCACTTAATTGAGGTGTTCTGCCAAAACACTACTGGCTGAGCTGTGTCATCACTGGCGTTATTACCACATGTCATTGGGAAATGGTTCATTCCAATTGGGCAGCAGCAGTGGTGCTACGGGGCCCAAAGCAGTGAGTCATGTTGTACAATGTCACCACCGCAGTGCAGGCAGGATCAGCGCCGTCCCACAGCACGAGTGAGATTTTAACCAAACAAATCACAGCCTTTTCTAATGACCCAGACAAGGTACTATTTAATTGAAATCACTCAAACACTCCCAATCTGAATGGAAACTCTTACAGAAGAGTAAGGCTTCACCATGCAACCTCTCATTCACTGCATGCCAAAGATCTGCAAGGCAAAGCAGAAAGGCAGGCTCCTCCAAAGCCCTGGGCTTTGTAATTCTGCAAGAAATATAAACTTGATAACTACATTAACAAAGGCTCACATCATTAATTTTCTTACTATGAGCATTAAGGAATGAATGTATAAGTACCACGAATGTCACCCTATTCTGAGCAGCTTCTGCAGCCAAACTTTTTTTTCCCCAAAACCATACAGGTTCAAAATGATATCAGTACCCAATTGTGCAGACAGTGAGGTCCAGGATGTAGTTATAAATTGACAATAGTTGGAAACTACATGATATAACAGTAGCCAAAATGAGATACAAGGATTATGTGAACTTTTCTATTTGTTTGCCATTCTTAGCTATTTGTAAATTATAAATATAATTTATATATATATATACACATATACATACATACAGTACAAAAGGCTTTGTTATCGTGTGCTAGCCTCTCTTCACTGTAAGGGAAGGATCTGAAACAAAAGCAATCTAAGGAGAAAATATGCAACGTATTAAATTCAGAGTGCAAAATGCTCTTTCACAGCTCTGATAGGTAGTAGCACGTTTCTCAGTCAACAGCTATCAATTCTAGCAGTTATTCAAACTCCAAAGATTAAAAGAGAGCTGGTAACCAATCCAAAAGCAGAAAAAACTTTCATTTCAATTTTAGAGTAGAAATCCTCCTCTCTCTGGAAACCTTTCAGAAAGGCCGAACATTCTCTCAATGTAACACAGCGAAACACATCCCTTTTCACTCAGGAACACACTGTTTGAAGCCTTGCTGCTATTCTATGTCTGGAGAGAGGTGTTGGATTAAGCCTGGCAGCAGATATCCTACTGTGGAGACAGAGCCTGGCTCTACTAACACAAAGCACACGTTATTCAGCAAGAACTGACTGACTCAGTACATCTATTCAGAAATGGAATGCTACTTGCTTGCATGAAGACCTTTAAGGCAGTTGTTGTTTTTTTGGTTTTTTTTGTTTGTTTGTTTGTTTTTTAAAGAACAGCAAGGGGAGTGAGCACCAGCACATCTGCAGACCTGCCAGCACTCAAAGATCAAAGATGGATGTGCCAGAACCCTGAGCATGTGGCAGCTATCTGTAGATGCCTGGCGGTGATTTGTCTGGGTGGCCGAGACGCTAAGCAGCTCAGGACACAGACATCTGGCTGCTCCCTGCCAGACCAGGAAAGTTGGTGAACCCAGCACGGAGCCAGAGCTAAACCAGCACCAGGGAGCTGCCAGATCTCAGCGCTCAGTTTTATTAGACTGTAAACTTTCCTCAGCAACATTTCATGTGGAGCATATTGCACAGACTGGCCGCGTATCAAAGTGATCGTTCCCTTTATTAACACGCCCTGCCCATCAGCTCCGCCACCTGCAATCAGAACCATACCACACTAAAGAAGAAAGGCTGCGTGGCTCTCCTTCCCCTGTCATTTACACGTTTCTACAAACCACAGCAGCCTAAGTGGCCCCTAATCTGTATATTAATATTGTTACTACCAAACAGCTACGCAGGCAGACAGCAGTAGAAGTAAATTCTCATGGAGATTTTTTTCCATAGTAACTTCCAACTAAAACGCTTAAACTGCAGCCTGGAGCAGAACAAGGAATTTTGTTTTCAGGTTCCCAAAAAAACTTGAAACAAAGTTCCTGTCTCTCACCTCTGCGTGAGAGCTGCACATTGATTTTAAAAATCACCCCAAATTGTAAAGCTGCAAACGCATGGCTGAGAAAAATGAAGCCTCCCAGATCACATTTGCATTCAAAGAAGGACAGAAAAAGGCAAAGCTTAACGTCAGCTACAGCCACATTTGCTGTGTGGCAAAGAGGTGGGATGCCAAAATTAAACAGCAGTAAGCATATTATCACCCCCTTCAAGTGCATTAGAAAATATCTTTAGAATATTAAAAACTACTTTTGAAAAATAAATACAAATTAGAAAAAAAAAAGCAAGAAACTAGCAAGACAGGCCAAAAACATGCTAAACAAGGAGCTTTTAAAGGACTGTTTTAAAATAACTCAGAAGAGCTGAAGGCATGCTAAGTGAGAGCCAGTTCTACAGACATACTGAGATAAATGATAAAAATGGCTGTTGCCTTTATATGAAACAGTCCTATACAGGTGAAAATATCAGAGCATGAGACTGCCAGAGCACCGCAGAAATGCTTTCCAATAACCAACTTTGCAGGTCTTGCAGACCTAAAAACTTGAGTAATCAAGCAAAGCCAGTATGTCCTAAAAACTCCATGTAAACAGCTCCAAGTGAACTTCATCACAACAGCTTGAACTAATATGCAAATATGCTGCTACACAGATAAGCAGCTGCAAATAAGGAACTATTGCTGAAGTCACGTAATGGCTAGAAGAAAGTCATACCTCTAAACCTGTTTATGCTCCTGATGTTGGAAGTATTACAACATAATCAGACTGCTAAGCAAAGAGTCCTCACTGGGCAGCTAAGACACAGGCAAGAGGCTTGCTGATCCCCGAAACAAACAAACAAAATCCCCTGGAATTACTGCTGACAGTTTCTCCTCCCAAGAACAGTTCAATAAACAGGAAACAAGCAAACAAAAAGCCAACTCATTGTGATTACTACTTATAATGAGATGCCTGTGTTCCCAGGGTCTGGAACGAGATAGCTCTGAAACGCCTCTTCAGGGAAGCCTAGAGAAACATGGCTTCAAAGCACCAACTCCATCTGATGCAAAAGCTGCACAGCGGAGGGAAGACAGAGAACAACGTGGGCCTTGGAAGGCCCCTTCCCACCAGGTCCTAGGGCAGGCAGGCAGCCGTGCAGCAGCAGCAGATTTCTGACCTCCAGGCAGCCGCATCATGCTGCTCTCATTTGCCAAAATAACAATCAATTAAGAATCAATTGACAACTCCATCAAAAAGCAGCAGAGGAGACCAGAGGACCAAGACAGCTGAGCAAGCAGGAAATTACTCAAGACCTCAAATATGGAATCGCAACAAAAGAAACCTCAGATACTGGACTTTCATAAGACGTCAACAATATGCATATACACAGAAATTCAAAAGCCATTATCCACTCAATTTCCTCAGGGAGAGTGGGTTGGAACTATCATATAGCAGATGACATTTTCCTGAGGTGACAAAACCACACCACCTCTCTGCTCCTAATGCTGGGATTGGCGATAGCTATAAATAACGGCACCTCAGATTCACAGCTAGTTTTAAATCAATGCAGATGGACGAGGCAGAAACCCAAAGCCAAATCCCATAAGCTGTTCCATACTAGTGCAGTCATCCACAGATACAAATTCTCCACTCAGAGACACCGTCCAACAACAGCTGATGTTCAGTTTTTCCTAAAATTAAGCTCAACTTCAGCACAAAGAACAAAACAGCCTTTGCCAGCATAGACAGTCCTTCAGAAAGTTCTTGAAAACCAGAAAAGTCATTTTTATCAGGAATAAACAAAAATAATTTCCAAAAACTGCCCACTGGAGACTGCTCTGGTAATCTAAAGCAGCTCAGCTCAACTCGTCTGCTCGGCAGCTGGCTGTACATTAAGCTGCTGTGGTTAATTTAAAATAGAAGTACTAATTGCATGCAAGTTCAACATACCTAAGACCTTCATAATGAAAGTGAGGACCCTCCCCTTTACAAGCATGTTTCATGTCCCAAGACCACCAGCAGCCAATAGCAAAGTAAAAACCGCTTGGAGCAGGCAGACCTTTGGAGCACACCTGGTAGACAGGCAGCCACATGTTGCACATAAAAAGTGCTCCAAAGTGGAAAGAAGCAGGAAACACAAAGGGAACACAAATGCAGAACATGCTCATGTTCTCTGTGTGGCTTCGCTCACCAGATACAGTACTTATGAGTGTATCTTCAACTATTCTCCTGCCTGAGGGTGACTGATACGTAAAGTGAAGGACTAAGTTCAAATAAGAAAGAAAGAAATCTCTTAACAGAGAGATTTCGGATCTTGACTGAAAGCTTGAGGGAGGTGGGAGTAAACATTAACTAGATAAAAGCCACCTGCTAGGTGATTTGGTTGTTCCATCTTTATCATTTCAGAAAGAACTCAGAGCAATAGCACACTCTACAACAAGAGCATCAACACATTCTTGCAAAAATACCAGCTCTAGACTAAACAGTCAGACAGAGAATAGAAAAACATCAGCAATTAGGACAATAAATTCTTTGTCAGATTTGCGAGAGCAGAATATTGGGCAAACAAGCAAACAAACCTAACTTCTCCGGGTTTGCAAATCTCTCATTTACTCAATTATCTCAGGCCTGCCTGCCCAGTGCAGTTGCAACACAAGGCAAAGATTGTAACTGATTGCCTTTCTGCTTCTCAGTGGTCAAACAAGAGAAATGGGTAGAAAAAAACTCCATCCCTGACTGCTAGCATCAGTAATTAATTTTTTGTTCATGAGGTGAGATAATTAAAGTTAAGTTCAGAGTTTTTTCTTCTCCACAGCCCTAGCTTTGTTCTAAACATTACATTCTAGACATCTAGCTAGCACAGAAGTCAAGTAGTTCAGGTTAATATACAATCATATGTATCCAAAGGTCCAAATTCCAGATTCATCAAACTCTAAGCAGAGTGGGAAAAAGGCTTTCCTGCCACATTCTTGACAGTAAAAGCTTCAGCCTGAGGATTAATTGAAGCTCAGCTCATCCCATACAGCATCAACCTGTCTTGCTGTAATGATTAGCTTGTGGTCCTGTTCCTAACTGATTTATCATATTAACCAGCTAAACAAAACTAAAAAAGAGATGACAAAAAAAAGATAACTGTTGATTAACTTAAAAGAGAAGAAAAAAAAGATCTTATATTTGGCTTTGATAATTCTATGCTCCAAGAAGCAACTTCCCATTAATTCCAAGCCTCACTTTACTCCAATTTGCTTCCTGCTTCTGATAGTCTTAAAAACATACATCTTCAGCAGCAGCACCTAACACAGAAGAAAAAGCTTTAACGCTTTCCTAGCCACACCTTACAGAACAAAGTGGAAAAACAGACACAATGCAACTGATGAAGCAAAATAGTCTGAAATCAGCTTTCACAATGCAGCTGTTAGCACCCTTCACTGCATGCAGGCACAATCTGAACCCAAACTGGCCTGTTAGATTTCAGATGCTCTAGGAAAATCGCACACAGCACTGAGATTTACTGAATGCAGTACTTACTCCATTTCTGCTCACTCAATAAACAGCTCTAGAATTATCCATCACAGGAATGACAAAGCACAATCACCTTAAATTCTCTGTATGTTTCAGAAAGGGAAAGCCAGGAGCACCAGTGTCTCACCTCAATGTCAGGAACTCTCCCACCTGCACCTGAACACCTAAAACAGTGCTACAATGGAAAACCAACCGCATAGCAAGCTACAGGACAACACTCGTTCTCAAAGCCCGCACCGGCACGGCGCTCTGCGGGGCGGGAGCACGAAGCTCCCCCCGCCTGCGGAGCGGGACGCTCACAGCGCGTTATAGGGCTACAGCCAAGCCGCCAGCTGCAGTGCCAGAGCCGTCACCCGCGGGCAGTGACGATAGGGCCGCTTTTCTCCGCGGCCCTCAGCGGCCGCGCCTTCCCCGGCGCAAGGCAAAGCCGCCCTTCCTCAGCGGCGGGCACCCAGGCGGCTCTGACCCACCCGCGCCGGTCTCCCCACATCTATCTCACAGACTTTGTGTTTTCAACGCCACGCTTCCCAAGCGGGGCCCGGCGCAGGCCGCGCCCGCAGGCCCAACGCCGCAGGGCGGCCCCGCAGCTCCGCACCCCCCGCCGCCGCCGCCCCCGGCCCGCGCTCGCCGCCCGCCCCCTCAGCGCCCCGCGGGCCGGGCCAGACCCTCGGCTCCCAGCCCCGCGCCCCCTGCCACCCCCACCAGTTCCTCTGCGGCGCCGGAGCCAATCAGCCGCCTCCTCGCATCGCCGCTCGCGCCGCTCCGGCTTGTAAGGCGCGGCGCCATTCGCCAGGCCGGGCCCCGGTACGTGCCCTCAGATAACCCGCCCCGGCCCCACAATAGCGCGTCGCGGTCAGTCCCCCGGCCGTCCCCACCGCTCCCATCCTGTTAACCAACCCCCTCCCCTCCTCACCCAGCCCGGCTTCACCGCCCCGCCATGCCCCCGTTGCCCCGGCCCGGTGGTGGCCTGGGGCCAGCGGAGCGATGCCGTCGGGCGGGGCGGGGGGAGCGCAGAGTGTGGCGGGGACGCGGGGCAGCCGCCGGCGCGAGGGGCTCACCAGGTCCTCGAAGCTGCGGCGGTGCTCCTTGCCCTGCCAGTCCAGGCGCCGGGGGATCAGCTGCGGGAGGGAGACGGGGAGAGAGAGAGAGAGCGGGAGGAGGGACGGAGCCGGAGGTCAGACCCCTCCCCGGGCGGCCGAGGGCAGCCGGCTCGGCTCCGCTCCGCTCCGCGGCCCCCGGCCCGGCCGCACCGCGGCCCCGGCCGCACCGCGCTGCATGGCCCCGCAGTGCCGGGAGGGGCCGGGCCGGGCCGGGCAGCGCCGTCCCTTACCTGGTGCTCCTCCAGCTCCTCCACCAGCACCTGGGGACACACACAGCACGCACACAAAGGACGTGAGTCCGGAGCCCGCAGCGCGGCGCCGTGCCCCCCTAGCCCCCGCCCGCCCGCTGCCGACCTGCCCCGTCCCTTCTGCTTCCCTTCCCGGCTCCTCTCCCCGTCCCGTCCCGTTCCTTTTCCTCCCGCCCGGCCCGGCCGGCAGCCCCGCTCACCTGGGCGGATTTCTTGCAGGGTCCGGACTGCAGGAACCTGGCGATCAGGTAATAGAGCTCTGCGCCGGGACAGGAAGGGGGACGGGAGAAGGGGACACGGTTACAAAGCGGGCGGACGGCGGCGGAGCCCCCGCGGCCAGCGCTACCCACCGGCTTCCAGCTGGGTCGGGGCGGCCGCCGTCGCCATCCTCCTCAGGAGGCCCGAGGGGGAGGGGAGGTGGCGGATCGCGCCCCGCGCACTCGGCGCTCCTACAGCGGCCGAACGCCCATGGAGGAGCCCCGCTGCCCGTGCGCGGCGTTCGCCCCGCTGCCGTTCTCCGCCGGCTTCATGGCATCGCCGTTCGCCCCATAGATAGCCCGGCCCGGAGAAGGCGACCGCCGAGCTGGGTGCAGGGAGCGCCGCCGGCCGCGCGAGGGCGGTGCGGAGCGGTTGCGGGCAGCGGGGAAGCGGCGGGGCGGAAGGGCCGGGCGGTGACGCGCGGCGGAGGGCCGGGGCGCGGGGAGGGCGCGCTGAGGCCTGTGGGCCCCGGAGGCCTGCGGGTGTGCGTGTGGAAAGCGCGAGAAAACGGAGCTGTGCCAGCGCCGCCGCGGGGAGAAGGGCAAAGCTGAGCGGTGTTCGTGCGGGTGGGAAGGGACAGGGCGAGGGCCGAGGGCCGCTCTGCTGGAGGGCCTGGCCGAGAGAAAAAGGGCGGGTGAAGTGTTTTACTCGGTTTTATCAGGGTGTAACAAACCGAGGGCGCAGGAAATAAACTTCAGTTGTGCTCGTGGAGTTGTCTTCTCTGTAAAAAGAATCTGTTTAATCCTCCGAAAACACAGGAAGTGCTGGATTTTGGATACCCAGAGGTGTCCTTGAGCACCTCACACTGACTGCCACAAACACAAAGGGGCTCCAGGCAGAATGCTGGGTTTGGGGCACCTGCAGAGCACACTTGTGAAAGCATAAATGAGAAGTCTGCCGTAAACACGAAGGTCCTCAAGACAGCATTCAATTCCAGATGCCCAGGCTGTGCCCTCATGTTAACATAAATGGGAACTGACAGCCATCAGTACGTGACACCTGTCATTGTCAGCACCTCACAGGATTTCGGTGTGGCTGCTCTTGTGTGTTCCCCAGTATACCACAGGGACAAGGCAATGTGGTAGAGAAGGAATTGGGCTGCGGTGGCTTTGCTAGATTGGGTATTTCTCATCATAGAAATAGATGAGAAATAAGATCATAGAAATAAGATCACAGAAGAGCCCAAGTTGGAGGGGATCCACAAGGATCGTTGAGTCCAGCTCCTGCACTCGTCTTAGCTCACAGCCAGTGCTTCGGGAGCTGAATCACAATTATTTCCTCCCAGTGTCCAGGAAATAAAGACATGGATGATGCTGCACCTGTTCTCTTCAAAGAAAATTCTGTGCAATATCGATCTCCATAGACATTCTTGAGGGAAACAAGTAATTTTTCCAGAAGTATCCTGTCCAAGCTTCAGAAATGTATTTCACTTCAGCAATAACTTGCTAAAATATTAAGTGAATTGTCAACATTCCTTAATATACAATTGTGTTTTACTACCATAAATACCTGATGTTTGGTGTTAGAATTTCCTGATTCTTTGCAGGGTAACAATCACTGTCATAACTGAAAAACAAAGGATTAAGACAACTGATCTTCATGCTTTGAATACCAAGAGCTGAATCATAGTAAATTGATGCAGTTGAAACATTAAGGATAAATTCATTTTCACATATATTTATAGTGTATATGCATGACTAGACACTGTGGAGTGCCATTTCGGAGTTCTTCCTGCTGTTACCACAAGGATGCAGCCCAGCCTGCTCTCAGGATGCTTCAGGGTACCGAAACAAGTCAGGTGTGTGACATCCAGCTGCTCTACCTGCCTCGCCTACATCTTAATACAGGTGTGGAAGTTGTTTGTGGCAGGCGCTTGGATTAGCTGGCTGAGCCATGGACTTCATTTTCTTCTTTGTCCTCCAAAGCTCTCAAGCTGCTAACGAGAATTTAAATAGCCAAAATAAATAAATAAAGCATCCCTGCTTACCATCATAGCTCTTAGAATTTTTTATAAGGCCGATTCATAGTTATCACTTAAAGAGATGTAGGGAGCCACCTTCCTAAGCTGTTACCTCAGCTCCGGGGGCTTTCCATTACTAACAAGCCTTTGAAGTTAGTCCTGCTGTTCCTGTGGGAGTTTGGGTGTACAATAGTTCTGGAAACAAATTACCTTCTGGGAAAAGAGCCTTCTGATATTCTGTATCTTTAGAAGTGATATTTCTCTCTCGTCAGAACTGATAATTGCAAGCTCATCTTATTATGTATGCTAGGAATTCAAAGGAAAAACATAGATAAGAGTATTGTAATATGTTTTGAAAGTGCACATCAATCTTTCTGAGCTAAATTTAATTCTGTGTCAGGAGAAAACACAGCACAATAAACATTGTGTAGCACCAGGGCCTCCTGTGTTCTAGTGGTAACAGTTACCTAATATATTCTTGATGGATATGGCGTGTTTCTTTGGGCCCCCCTGGCTGAGGTCTTGCCGAACATTTCTCCTCACAATTTGTCTTTATTTGAGCATGGAGGCAGTAGCATATAAGCTGCACCACCACAAAAAGGCAGGATTATTCTTTCTAGGCCTATCTAGAGCCAGTGGGAATTCCTACAGGAACTGAAATGGGCTCTCAAATTGAAAGCCAAGATAGAAAATGTTCCCGAACGAAGCTCCTCTGTCCCTTGCATGTGTCCTTCCCACACCATTCTCACTGGAAGCCTTGCTGCATGCCTAGATGCTTACACATACAGGTTCTTACAGCTCAAAACTCAGAGGTGCTCCTTAACGCAAAGGCTGTGCCCTCGTTGAAGCCTAGGCTGATTCATGCATCAACAAGAAAGGAGCACATTAATAACTATGCAGCTATTTGTTAGTTATGTGTTGCAGACTGTGGGTGTACAGACCACAACCTGCATCCAGGCTGAACACAAACAGCTCATTAGTCATGCCCGGAGCAGCCATTGGATAGCTTCCCTTGGCCAGGCTCCTTCAGAGCAATTAGGGCTGGGGTTTCCATCTCCACAGTGACCCCCAGCCTTCTTCCTGTACTGCTGATCCTGTGGCTCCACAGCTTCATATTGTTAACATTCTCCCAGTTGCTTTATGATCCCCTAGGGTTGCTCAGAGCACTGTGATCAATAGATCTTCCTGCTTCTTCTGAGCTCTCCCCTTAAGGAGTTGTCTTTCTGGTGAGTAATGCCCATCTTCAGGTGCACCTTTCATTCCCTGGGAGCTCCATGCCACAGCACATTGCAGCCATACACAGATAGATCTGCAGCTCCATGACTCGTCTCTTTCTGGATCCTCTGCATCCAAGAAGCATCGTTCTGGACAGCAATAGTAAATCTTCTAGTGAAAGGCAGATTTGATGCTAGTGCTTATTCACATTTCTCCAAAGCAGAATTCTGTTATATAAATGCCAACAGCAGCAGTGGCACTTAGTGCTGGAGAGGAACATACTGATACAACGGTTTTTGCTGGTGATCAACAGATGCACTCAAAAGCAGAGATGCTTTGAGGAAGAAGCTATGCTGTGAGTTTCTTTCCATGCTTGCTCTTTTTTAAATAATAGTAATAGTAGTAATAATAATAACAACGAAGGAATGCCTTTGAAGCATTTTGAGTGGAAATCTGTAGATAAAACTTTAATCTACACATTGTCCCACAAAATAAAATCAGTCTCATTCTGCTATGGCCAAACTTGTCAAATATTGCAGGTCACTTCCCTCTCCCAGACAGAGTGCAGATCATCACAAAGCATTCGGATCTGAAGAAAGCAGGAAGGGTGGATAATGAGTGCTGAACACGTACGGGGGAAAATCATGACAAATATCATGGTGATAGAGATCTTGTTGAGGTTCCAGATATGGGTTACAGGTGAAGCTAACTCGGGAGATTTTAATTTCCTGCATACGTGTGCATTTTTCATGCTTTCACAGACTCAGTTCTACCTTTCTGCCCTCTTACTGATATTGCTTGGTGCTAGTAAGTACCCTGGTTCCCCAGCATAACATCTCTGTATATGCATCTTACTCTAAGTGAGAACCTGCAGGGGAAAAAATCTCAGAAAAAATGCCTCCTACTTGTGCCATTGTACAGTTAACTTACCAAAAACACTCTTAATATTAAATAAATATGATTAACCTAGTGCACTTAACCCTCTGAAAAGCTTGGTTCTGGCAACTCTCACCTCAAACACCCACTGTTTCTGCCCATTTGATATTGCAAAAACCTCTCAAAAAAGCCCTATTTTGCTTTCCTCACTCCAGAGGTCACCCAGTCCCCACCCTGCACAGAGCAGACCTAAAATATCATGTTTGACCAGGCAAGTCTGAACACCTCCAAGGAAGGAAGATTGCCCAACTTTCTGGGCAACCCAACCCCTTCCAGTCTGACCATCCTTGTGATCCAGAATCATTTCCTTATCTGGACTTCTCATGTTCCAGCTTGTGTCTGCCACCTCTCACTGTAGTGCTGTAGTTGAGAGGACATGCAAGTAGACAGGATTTACCTCGCCTTAATTTCACTGCTACACTAAATTATTTTATCTTTACTCAGCTTGTAACACCAAATGAGTGTCTCTCATTTTATTTATTGTTATACATTCTAGATGAGTCAAATTCTGCTTTCTGTTTTCTAGCTTTAGCATACTGTCAGAACATGCCTGGTAGAGGTTTTCCACAACCAGACAGAGATACAGCACAGCTGCATTGGAACCATGCAGGTGTGCTGGGTTGTACCTGGGCTGTACCTTTCCTCTCCAGTAATTGTATATGGGAATGCATGTATCTGAATCCCTTTGGATGTAGAGTACAAGAGGTTAAGCATTTTTTTACTTTTTTGACTATTTATCATCCATTTTTTTATGTGCTTTCTGCTAATCTTGGGTCTTTCCTTATGCAACCAGGTGAGACACAAGGATACTCATTGTTCCTGAGATGAAATCCAAGTTTTTCTGTAACTGATACAAAAATAAGTGCTATTTAGAAGCAGTTTCAGAACTGGTGCTTTGTACTATACTGCTGAAACCAAATATAGGTATTGAAAAGTCAAGGCTTACTTTAAGATGGTATCAAAATGCGGTAACCTCAAAATGAAATTTTGGTGTTGTAGTTTGTTTAAGTAAATAAGAGGTGCTAAATTATTAACAAAATGGACGAATTTGCTTGCGTGCAGAGGTCCTGTGTGCCGATCAACATCCTCTCTTGACAAAGAGATCTCCTTTTCACAGTTTTTTCTCTTGACGACATCTGTTAAATAACAATCCGGTACCTGCTGGTGGTTATGTAAGGTGTGCTGTAGGATCTTCTTTCTTTTTACGTATCCGATCATCTCACTTCTGCATCCC